ATCCTATAATAATGCACAAAGTCAAGATTTGGCACATCAACATTTGCGCACATGTTACACATTATTAAATATATTGAGGCAAAACTTAGACAGTAGTCTACAATTAGCAAAATAAAACTCAATACGATTGAAATATATAGGCCTGTACTGTGTTTATCTTTTAATGCAGACATCTAGGTTTTAATTTGAAACATTTTTTTTTTTTACCCTTCGCTTGTTTGTGACAATTGCAAAGTAATTGGCAACTTTGTATTTGTAGTCAACTTAGTCAGAGAGGAAGAGGCGAAGCGAGTGGTTTCACTCTCGCCTAAATCTGTCCAAAATAAGCCCAATGTGTTCCTATGGGTTTTTTTTGGACCAAAGCTTGTCGCCTGCCTTCCCGCCTTTGGGAGGACGACTCATTGTTAGGGCGGAGACTTGAGCATCTCGTCATTTTATACAGCTTCGTTTTGAAGTTATCGGCGGGCACAAAGATTCTATGTTCAGCGGAGATCTTCTGTGTATAAAGTGACGCGGGAGGGCAAAAAAAAGCATCTAACGACACACTTAGCTGTTCTATGTGGTCTGAGGCAGTCGGCAAATAACTAGTGTTTTAAGTGCAACTTTAGTAACGATGGTTTTGGGAAAGTTAACAGCTCGTAGATTTAATGATGCTCAGCCTTAAGATGCTTTTGGGAAACGAAGCCCTGGAAACTCCGATTCAACCTTCCATTAGACAGCGCTGCAAGCGTTACAATGTCAAAATACTTAAGTTACTCACCAAATATGGAGTTTCGCTGACCAACTATCTACATTTACGGCCGGTACGTACTGCCGAAGAGGCATTTTTTCGGTTGCTTGTACATGTTTTATTTAGACATCTTTTGGATGCACATACCGGCCAAAAGGGAGGCAATATGCTGTTTTCTTGGCTTGGTGGTAAATGGACCAAATTTAAAGGTCAATACCGGTGATTGCGTGTAAGCTAAAAAAAATAAATAATCTGCCATTCAGGAAGGTTAGACCTATGTGAAGACACACACTGCATAAGGCCATGTTTATTAGTTACCTGTAGCTACTAAGGGCGTTATATTTACAAGAAAGCTTCCTATCCAGGTGAAATGGAGATGTAAAACCACATAATGTCACTGACCCCCCCCCCCCATCCATGTATTGATTAGAGAATTTCAGTTCACCACTTCCCTGATTCTATAGGCATATTTAGTGTGATTAGGTCAACATTTTAATACCTTCCTGGTGGGTTCCGTTACCGCTCTTATGAAAGGAACACCTTTTATTTTGTCCAAATTCCTCCCCTTTTGACTTTCTACGAATATTTATCGTTTTTACATTTTAAATGTTTTAGTCATTTAGCGGATGCTGTTATCCAGAGCGACTTACAGGAGCAGTGAGGGTTAAGTGCCTTGCTCAAGGGCATTATTACAGCGGTAGGGTCAGTCCACCTCAAAAAAGCACAAGAGGATTATCGACACCCACCATCTCAGATTGTTCTGAAATTGTTTCTGTAGTTAGTAACAGATACGATTAGCATTTCTGATACGTTATTTTGTTTTAATATACCTTGATCTCTAAGGGAGACTAGATTAGTTGCCGTACTTACGTGAACACAAACGCTTGCATCTTTCATAGCGAGTTAGCGAGGGACGGAGAGAGAGGGGAGGGGCACAGTATAGGCAGGTCAGCCACCAGACAGTCAGAACCCTGCACTAGGCCTATCTATCAGTATAGGCAGGTCAGCCACCAGACAGACAGAACCCTGCACTAGGCCTATCTATCAGTATAGGCAGGTCAGCCACCAGACAGACAGAACCCTGCACTAGGCCTATCTATCAGTATAGGCAGGTCAGCCACCAGACAGACAGAACCCTGCACTAGGCCTATCTATCAGTATAGGCAGGTCAGCCACCAGACAGACAGAACCCTGCACTAAGCCTATCTATCAGTATAGGCAGGTCAGCCACCAGACAGACAGCACCCTGCACTAGGCCTATCTATCAGTATAGGCAGGTCAGCCACCAGACAGTCAGAACCCTGCACTAGGCCTATCTATCAGTATAGGCAGGTCAGCCACCAGACAGACAGCACTAAGCCTATCTATCGGCAATCAAAAGCTGTATCACACAACGGAATGCTGTATCTTGCAATGTCTCACAACTTCAGTGAAGCGGGGCCAATAACCAAGAGTAGGCTAGGATATTCTACAGACCAAAGACTGAACACACACTTGCATCATTAGCGAAGTGCCATTGAGCCAGAACGAGGGAGAGAGAGGAGGGGGTAAGCAGATAGAATGTCTCGGTAATCTGTATCTCGCAATGCCTCGCAAATTCACCAAAGTAGCCTAAAGTTTGCCATTTACATTTGACATTTCAGTCATTTAGCAGACGCTATTATCCAGAGCGACTTACAGTTAGTGCATACATTAAAAAAATAAAATAAATTCATACTGGTCCCCCGTTGGAAACGAACCCACAACCCTGGCGTTGCAAACGCCATGCTCTACCAACTGAGCTACACGGGGACTCTCTGGTTTTAACCCTTGGCCTAAATGGAAAGGGGATAAATTAAAATGTTTCTTACAGAAGAAATATGTAAAGCATAAACATGGTAGCAATTGAAGGGGAACAGTTTTGGATATTATGGGGAGATTAGTAGCCCAAAGGTGAGGACAACAGATGACCTGACAAGACTGGCTCCAAACATTGCACTGTTGATTTTGGTTCCAAAAAAAATACTGAATCTTAGGTGTCGATTCCTAGCGGGATTTCAAATTTATACACTCAGAAATGGGAGTCGGCGTGCAAGGAGTCAAGGAATCAATTATTATTTTTTCGAGTCGACTCCAGAGAAAGGCGAGCGACAGCAGCGAAGTACTGTATGGCAATACTTTGAGAAGTGAAATGAGAAGGAAATGCAAACTTTGTGGAAGAATCGAGGTACAGTAATGGTAGTACTGGTGCAATGCTGAACCATCTGAAAGATGACGCACCGTAAGACCCAAACCGTTGCTGGCAGCAGTGCAGCTGCGTTGTGAATTCACATGGAATTTTATGCATTTTTCTTATCATAAAAATAAAAAGCCTGTTTAAATGTTAAGAAAATGTCAATTTGTCACATCGCTAACAGGAAAGTTTGGTCCAAATTGGATGTTTGGTACTATATTTACTGAATATTATCTGAATCCTATAAATTAAAATGGCCAATTTGGGTGCAATCAATGAGCTTAATTTCTTCAAGATGATAACATTTAATTTCAACAAAAGAATGTTTCAGGAATGCCAATCTCATATGTTTCTAACTACATAAACCATTTCAGAACAATAGCTTGCTGAAATGACATGGAACAACTGTGGTTATTTTTTCACTGTACATACAGTGGGGAGAATAAGTATTTGATACACTGCCGATTTTGCAGGTTTTCCTACTTGCAAAACATGTAGAGGTCTGTAATTTTTATCATAGGTACACTTCAACTGTGAGAGACGGAATCTAAAACAAAAATCCAGAAAATCACATTGTATGATTTTTTAAGTAATTAATTTGCATTTTATTGCATGACATAATATTTGACCATCAGAAAACAAACTAATTTTGTACAGAAAACCTGCAAATCAGAGTCATATTTTGTTTTTGACCAGGTTCTAACTGCAGTTTTGGCCAAATCTATACGACCTTAAACCTTCAGTCACTGTCGCCTCAATAGCCCCTCCAAACATTTTCTATGGGCAGATTTTAACTGAATGGCCAAAGTGTGCTTCTTCGAGCCACTCCTTTTGCCCTGGCAGTTTCGTGTTAGCGGAAGACCCAGCTAGACATTCGGATACGGACCACGGCGGTCCTGTCCCCTTTGCAGAAAAGCATCCCCAAAGAATGATGTTTCCAACTCCATGCTTCACGGTTGGGATGGTGTTCTTGGGGTTGTACTCATCCTTCTTCTTCCTCCAAACACGGCGAGTGGAGTTTAGACCAAAAAGCTCTATTTTTGTCTCATCAGACCACATGACCTTCTCCCATTCCTCCTCTGGATCATCCAGATGGTCATTGGCAAACTTCAGACGGGCCTGGACATGCGCTGGCTTGAGCAGGGGGACCTTGCGTGCGCTGCAGGATTTTAATCCATGACGGCGTAGTGTGTTACTAATAGTTTTCTTTGAGACTGTGGTCCCAGCTCTCTTCAGGTCATTGACCAGGTCCTGCCGTGTAGTTCTGGGCTGATCCCTCACCTTCCTCATGATCATTGATGCCCCACGAGGTGAGATCTTGCATGGAGCCCCAGACTGAGGGTGATTGACCGTCATCTTGAACTTCTTCCATTTTCTAATAATTGCGCCAACAGTTGTTGCCTTCTCACCAAGCTGCTTGCCTATTGTCCTGTAGCCCATCCCAGCCTTGTGCAGGTCTACAATTTTATCCCTGATGTCCTTACACAGCTCTCTGGTCTTGGCCATTGTGGAGAGGTTGGAGTCTGTTTGACTGAGTGTGTGGACAGGTGTCTTTTATACAGGCAACGAGTTCAAACGGGGGCAGTTAATACAGGTAATGAGTGGAGAACAGGAGGGCTTCTTAAAGAAAAACTAACAGGTCTGTGAGAGTCGGAATTCTTACTGGTTGGTAGGTGATCAAATACTTCTGTCATGCAATAAAATGCAAATTAATTACTTAAAAATCATACAATGTGATTTTCTGGATTTTTGTTTTAGATTCCGTCTCTCACCGTTGAAGTGTACCTATGATACAAATGACAGACCTCTACATGCTTTGTAAGTAGGAAAACCTGCAAAATCGGCAGTGTATCAAATACTTGTTCTCCCCACTGTATCTAATTTTCAATAGTTTCTTATCCAAATGACATATACCTACCTGTAGAACCATGTTAGGTCACTGACCTCCCTCCATAGTACATCCATTAGAATTACCATTTTCCATTGCACTGATTTTACATGAATATTTCCAATTATGGGTGTTCTTTTCATTAGCTCACTGTCCTTATGAGCTACAGGTCTACAGACAGGTGTCGTGTCTACGGACAGGTGTCGTGTCTACGGACAGGTGTCGTGTCTACGGACAGGTGTCGTGTCTACGGACAGGTGTTGTGGGGTCCTTTACTGCTCTTATAAAAGGTACACCTATTATTTTTTGAAAAATCCAGCCCTTTGATTTTTTACATATTTATCCTTTGTGGTTAAAGCTGTGGTTATTTTTTCTGATCTAATTTTCTGTAGCTGTACATCCAGATGATTTTGAAATCTAATACTGAAAATTATTTTCAATATTGCACATATTTAGTGCCTTCAGAAAGTATTCAGACCCCTTGACTTTTTCCACATTTTGTTAGGTTACAGCCTTATTCTAAAATGTATTAAATTGGTTTCCCCCCCCCCTCATCAATCTACACAATACCCCATAAGGACAAAGCAAAAACAGGTTTTTAGACATTTTTCTAATCTATATGGAAAAAAACGGAAATATCACATTTACATAGGTATTCAGACCCTTTACTCAGTACTTTGTTGAAGCACCTTTGGCAGCGATTACAGCATCGAGACTTCTTGGGTATGACGGTAAAAGCTTGGCACACCTGTATTTGGGGAGTTTCTTCCATTCTTCTCTGCAGGTCCTCTCAAGCTCTGCCAGGTTGGATGGGGAGCGTCGCTGCACAGCTATTTTCAGGTATCTCCAGAGATGTTAGATCGGAGTCTGGGCTCTGGCTGGGCCACTCAAGGACATTCAGAGACTTGTCCCGAAGCCACTCCTGCATGGTCTTGGCTGTGTGATTAGGGTCGTTGTCCTGTTGGAAGGTGAACCTTCACCCCAGTCTGAGGTCCTGAGCGCTCTGGAGCAGGTTTTCATCAAGGATCTCTCTGTACTTTGTTCTGTTCATCTTTGCCTCGATCCTGACTAGTCTCTCAGTCCCTGCTGCTGAAAAACATCCCCACAGCCTGACAGCTGCCACCACCATGCTTCACCATAGGGATGGTGCCACGTTTCCTCCAGACGTGATGCTTGGCATTCAGGCCAAAGAGTTCAATCTTGGTTTCATCAGACCAGAGAATCTTGTTTCTCATGGTCTGAGAGTATTTAGGTGCCTTTTGGCAAACTCCAAGCGGGCTGTCATGTGCCTTTTGCCATGGAGTGGCTTCCGTCTGGCCTGATTGGTGGAGTGCTGCAGAGATGGTTGTCGTTCTGGAAGGTTCTCCCATCTCCACAGAGGAACTCCAGAGCTCTGTCAGAGTGACCATCGGGTTCTTGGTCATCTCCCTGACCAAGGCCCTTCTCCCCCGATTGCTCAGTTTGGCCGGGCGGCCAGCCCTAGGAAGAGTCTTGGTAGTTCCAAACTTCTTCCATTTAAGAATGATGGAGGCCACTTGTTCTTGTGGACCTTCAATGCTGCAGACATTTTTTGGTACCCTTCCCCAGATCTGTGTCTCGACACAATCCTGTCTCGGAGCTCTACGGACAATTCCTTCAACCTCATGGCTTGGTTTTTGCTCTGACATGCACTGTCAACTGTGGGACCTTTATATAGACAGGTGTCTGCCTTTCCAAATCATGTCCAATCAATTGAATTGACCACAGGTGTACTCCAATCAAGTTGTAGAAACATCTCAAGGATGATCAATGGAAACAGGATGCACCTGAGCTCAATTTCGAGTCTTATAGCAAAGGGTCTGAATACTTATGTAAATAAGCTATCTGTTTTTAATTTTTAATACATTTGCAACATTTTCTAAAAACTTGTTTTCGCTTTGCCATCATGGGGTATTGTGTGTACATTGCTGAGGAAATTGATTTATTTAATCCATTTTAGAATAAGTATATGTAACAGTCAATACTTTCCAAAGGCACTAGGTGGAGCCATTGACCACAGGAGCTCTTACCAAAATTTTTATTTTATAATAATAATAATAATATGCCATTTAGCAGACGCTTTTATCCAAAGCGACTTACAGTCATGCGTGCATACATTTTTTTTGTGTATGGGTGGTCCCGGGGATCGAACCCACTACCCTGGCGTTACAAGCGCCGTGCTCTACCAGCTGAGCTACAGAGGACCACAATTTTATTTATTTATTTTACCTTTATTTAACTAGGCAAGTCAGTTAAGAACACATTCTTATTTACAATGACGGCCTACACCGGCCAAACCCGGACGACGCTGGGCCAATTGTGCGCCGCCCTATGGGACTCCCAATCACGGCCGGTTGTGATACAGCCTGGAATCGAACCAGGGGGTCTGTAGTGACGCCTCAAGCACTGAGATGCAGCGCCTTAGACCATTGCGCCACTCGGGAGCCCGCGTATCAAATCAAATCAAATCACTTTGATACATGTATCAAATCAAATCACTTTTTCTAATTCAAACTGCATTGTTGGTTAAGGGCTTGTAGGTCTACACGACCTTGCAGTGAAATGCTTACTTACAAGCCCTTAACTAACAATGCAGTTTTAAAGAAGAAAAAAAGTAATAAGTAAAAAATAAAAATAATTAAAAGCAGCAGTAAAATAAAATAACAGTAGGGAGGCTATATACAGGGGGTACCGTTACAGAGTCGATGTGCGGGGGCACCGGTTAGTCGAGGTAATATGTACATGTGGGTAGAGTTAACAGTATTATTGACATCCGCACCGCCAGCTGAATAGTTTCCTTGCTAGTTATCTTCCCTTATCCCTTTTGATCCATTCTGTCTGTGTCTTTGTTTTGAGGAAGCCCGAAACATGAAGCTTAATAATTCTTTAAATAAAATATATTTTTCAATGATGACCTAATAATTATTTAGCACCTTTACTCACATTGCAGAGGTCGCATTAGCTTTCAGACATCTGCATTTTCAAAACGCAGACATAAAATATGTTGTGTTTTAAACCATTTCACCTGCGTGGTTTTATATTGAAAGTCAAAAATGTTTGGCTTCATAGGGTTGTGCAACTAGTTTTTCTTCACACAGAATACATTAGTGCAACACATTCGGTAGAAAATCGTTTTCATCAGATGACAACAGAAGTGCAACGCTATTTGGCTAGCAGCCACACAAGTAAATTAGCTTATAATGTAAAAGCAATGTTTGTTTCTTTGTTGCTAAAACTATGCATATTTCTGTTTAGCAAGCTACATTTCCTAAAGTTTTGCTTGAACTTAATTTGCTACAACTGAAAAGTTGTACAACTGAAATGTGTCTTCCGCATTTAACCCAACTGAATCAGAGAGGTGCGGGGGTCTGCCCTAATCGACATCCACGTCATCGGCGCCCCCGGGGGGAACAGTGGGTTAACTGCCTTGCTCAGGGGCAGAACGACAGATCTTTTACCTTGTCAGCTCCCAGCAACCTTTCGGTGCAACTATAGCACGTCCTTTTATGTTCATGATTTGGAGAGAACACTGAATGAAGCCCAGCAGAATTTACAATAACAATTTTTAAAAATCTGCGTATTATCTTTCCTTTTCTGCGTGAAAAAATTAAGAATCCTGCGTTAACGTGACCCCTGCATTGGTTGAACGCCTTCCACTTCTTTCCATATTTGAAAACGAACACTTAAAAATAGAAAAAAACTTAAATACAGCCAGTATGATGCTGCGTTTTGCATCATATTATGCAAAATGCATCACACCGGCTGTATTTTGAAAGTTATATATCTTGAAAACTTGATTGCTGACATGGGAAACATTTTGAAATGGACTAATGAATCAGATACCCCAAAAAATAGTTTTTGGGTGGAATTTTCCTTTTAAGATGGACCCTTAGCAGGGAGTGCATAATATTCCCCAATTGAAAGTCACTTTTTGAGAACGGAACAGAGAAAATAAAGGGTGCTCTACCGTCATATGATTCTAGATATATCACTCATCATCCTAGGACCTTCAGTGGAAGAGGAATTGACAAGCAAACTCTGAATATCTAACCAATATCTAAACTGAAAAATGTTTACTGCAGTGTTACCGTTGCTGAAGTAGAGGCGAGAAGCTATGTTTATTGTAGCTTCAAGCACTTGCTATTATTTGCCCTAACTTCATCCATATTAGTAAACTGCAGTTATTTTGTAGTTTTTTCTATAGGCTCCTTCAACCATGTCGTCCAGATTAGGAGGTAGGTCTTCTCCCATCTCCCCCGTTTTGTTCCTGACGGTGGACGGTGAACCCATGCGCTTCTTCCTGCGTCCCGGCCCCATCAAGGTTCAGCTGCAGCCCATCATCAAGGCGGGCGGAGGCCTGGTGTGCAGGGCCCAGGAGCCTGGGGCTTTCCTACTGGTGGACCCAGAGGAGATGGGGTCTGTTGCGGGTTCGGCAGCCCACTGGTACGTGTCCACCCAGTACATCCGGGACTGCATGGAGAAGAACCAGCAGCTGGAGGTGGATGATTACCGCTTCAAGCCTGACAACGTACAGGTATCTTGATATAGAGCAGGGTTGTCCCCAGGATTTTTCAAACAATGTGGGGCTGTTGAGTATGATGTGGGGGGGGGGGCAGCTGCCGTAATTCACAGTGAGCTCCAAAACTAACGGGACAGTGACACATTTTGTGTTGTTTTGGCGCTGTACCGCAGCACTTTGGATTTGAAATGATGAAATGACTGAGGTTAAAGTGCAGACTAATTTGAGGGTATTTCCATCCATATCGGGTGAACCGATAACACTTTTTATACATAGTCCAAAAGTATTGGGACAAATTCACTTATGTATTAAAAGTAGTCAAAAGTTGAGTATTTGGTCTCATATTCATAGCAATGATTACATTAAGCTTGTGACTCTACAAACTTGTTGGATGCATTTGCTGTTTGTTTTTAAGTTGTGTTTCAGATAATTTTGTGTCCAATAGAAATGAATCGTATACATTGTGTATTATGTATTGTGTCATTTTCACTAAAAAAGTAAATATATACAGTACCAGTCAAAAGTTTGGACACACCTACTCATTCAAGGGTTTTTATTTTATTTTACAATTTTCTACATTGTAGAATAATAGTGAAGACATCAAAACTATGAAATAACATATGGAGTCATGTAGTAACCAAAAAAGTGTTAAAACAAATCAACATTTATTTTATATTTGAGATTTTTCAAATAGCCACCCTTTGCCTTGATGACAGCTTTGCACACTCTTGGCATTCTCTCAACCAGCTTCATGGGGTAGTCACCTGGAATGCATTTCAATTAACAGGTGTGCCTTGTTAAAAGTTAATTTGTGGAATTTATTTCATTCTTAATGCGTTTGAGCCAATCAGTTGTGTTGTGACAAGGTAGGGTTGGTATACAGAAGATAGCCCTATTTGGTAAAAGACCAAATCCATATTATGGCAAGAACAGCTCAAATAAGCAAAGAGAAATGACATTCCATCATTACTTTACTTTAAGACAGTCAATACAGAACATTTCAATAACTTTGACAATTTCTTCAAGTGCAGTCGCAAAAAAACATCAAGCGCTATGATGAAACTGGCTCTCATGAGGACCACCACAGGAATGGAAGACCCAGAGTTACCTCTGCTGCAGAGGATAAGTTCATTAGAGTTACCAGCCTCAGAAATTGGCAATTAACTGCACCTCAGATATTGGAGCCCAAATAAATGCTTCACAGACAAGTAACAGACATCTCAACATCAACTGTTCAGAGGAGACTGCGTGAATCAGGCCTTCATGGTCGAATTGCTGCAAAGAAACCACTACTAAAGGACACCAATAAGAAGAAGAGACTTGCTTGGGCCAAGAAACACGAGCAATGGACATTAGACCGGTGGAAATCTGTCCTTTTGGTCTGATGAGTTCAAATTTGAGATTTTTGGTTCCAACCGCCGTGTCTTTGTGAGACGCAGAGTAGGTGAACGGTTGATCTCCGCATGTGTGGTTCCCACCATGAAGCATGGAGGAGGAGGTGTTGAGGTGCTTTGCTGGTGACACTGTCTGTGATTTTTTTTAGAATTCAAGGCACACTTAACCAGCATGGCTACCAGAGCATTCTGCAGTGATACGCCATCCCATCTGGTTTGGGCTTAGTGGGACTATCATTTGTTTTTCAACAGGACAATGACCCAACACACCTCCAGGCTGTGTAAGGGCTATTTAACCAAGAAGGAGAGTGATGGAGTGCTGCATCAGATGACCTGGCCTCCACAATCCCCCAACCTCAACCCAATTGAGATGGTTTGGGATGAGTTGGATCGCAGAGTGAAGGAAAAGCAGCCAACAAGAGCTCAACATATGCGGGAACTCCTTCAAGACTGTTGGAAAAACATTCCAGGTGAAGCTGGTTGAGAGAATGCCAAGAGTGTGCAAAGCTGTCATCAAGGCAAAGGGTGGCTATTTGAAGAATCTCAAATATAAAATATATTTTGATTTGTTAAAACACCTTTTTTGGTTACTACATGATTCCATATGTGTTATTTCATAGTTTTGATGTCTTCACTATTATTCTACAATGTAGAAAATAGTAAAAATAAAGAAAAACCCTTGAATGAGTAGGTGTTCTAAAACTTTTGACTGGTACTGTGTTTCTAAACACTAATACATTAATGTGGATGCTAACATGATTACAGATAGTCCTGAATTAATCGTGAATAATGATGAGTGAGAAGGTTACAGACGCATAATCATATCCCCCAAGACATGCTAACCTCTCACCGTTACAATAACAGAGGTCTGTAACTTCCTCACTCATCATGATTCACAATTCATTCAGCATTAACCCGTAATCATGGTAGCATCCACTTGTAGAAGTGTTTATAAACATGTTCTATGGCAGTCTGCACTTTAACCTCATTGTCATTGTATCATTTTAAAAGTGCTGGAGTACAGAGCCAAAACAACAACAAAAATGTGTCACTGTCCCAATACTTTTGGAGCTCAATTGTTGTGTCACCGTGGAATGACACTTCGATAAACTCTCTCCCTATCTACAGGTGAACGTCCAGACCAGGTCAGCGAAACAGAGGGTAGGTAGAAGTGGGCGCTTGGGCTACACTCCGGAGGAGGACGAGGCCATCGTGAGCTACATCTGTGAGCGCAAGCGTGAGGCGCAGGGGAACAGGGTGTGGCAGGAGATGGAGAAGAAGGGTCTGACCTGTCACACCTGGCAGTCGATGAAGGACCGCTACCGGAAACAGCTCAGTCACAGGCAGCCTGAGCCTCAGGACTGCAGGGGAGGGAAAAAACCTGCCGCTGCTTCGGAGGAGAAAGGAGAGAACTCGTCTGAGAAAGAGAGAGAGAAAGACATCCCACCACAGCCCTCCTCACTTCAGAAAGACGCTCCACAGTCGGATATTATTATGCCGTTGGCCCAAGAGTCAGACGCCCCGGAGACTTCCACTGAGTCCGAACTCCCTCAGGCATCATCAGACGCTGGTCTCCAACTCGCACAGATGTCCCCTCAGAAAGACCAGGCTCAGTGCTCTCCTGAAGGAACGGGAACAGAGGAACCAACTGTTGACCCCTCACCCCAGCCCCAGCTAGAGCCATCTACGTCAGGCCTTTCCCAGTCTGACACCACCACACCCCAGAAGCTCCCTTCTAAGAGACCCCACCAGCCCTCTCCTCCTGGGGGCAAACACCCACATCCCCAGCCTGAGGAGGCAGCAGCCTCACTTAAAAGAGCCAGGTCAAATAGTGGAGCAGTGGCGGAGGTCCTGGAGAAAAGGGATTCAGCAGTTACATCAGGTAGGGTTAGGGTTGAAGAACTGATAGGACTACCCCTCTCTCTCTAGATCTCTCCATCTGTCTCTCTCGCTCTCTCCCTTTCTCTCTGTCTTTCTTTGTCTCTCCTCTGTTAGTTATAACATATATTTTGTTCTTGCTTCAGGAGAGAAGGCAACAACCTCCAACACGACAGAGGGGCAGCTGGGAAAGAAAAAGGCCAACAAGCGAAAACTGGGTATCCTCGAGAGTGCAGTGAGAGAATTCGAGGGGTCAGATGAGGTAAGATAATCTGTGACACCTAGGCTAGTTATTACACATTTAGGATCTAGAATCAGGAAGAACCATGTAGTCCAATCTCTGATGTTTAGGATCTAGAGTCAGGAAGAACCATGTAGTCCAATCTCTCATGTTTAGGATCTAGAATCAGGAAGAACCATGTAGTCCAATCTCTCATGTTTAGGATCTAGAGTTAGGAAGAACCATGTAGTCCAATCTCTCATGTTTAGGATCTAGAGTCAGGAAGAACCATGTAGTCCAATCTCTCATGTTTAGGATCTAGAATCAGGAAGAACCATGTAGTCCAATCTCTCATGTTTAGGATCTAGAATCAGGAAGAACCATGTAGTCCAATCTCTGATGTTTAGGATCTAGAGTCAGGAAAAACTCTGGGCAGATTGGGAAAACCTCCTGGCCCCACTCATACTGAATACAAATAAGCTAACTGTATTTATTGTACATGTATTAGAATGTCAGTGGTTGTATTCATTAGTGCACACCGTAGCAAAAGGTTTTGCAACAGAGAACGACAACAAACGTTACGGTCTGTTTGGTTGCTAGTACTGACAGTTGTTTCCCTTTCCTAGTCAGGTGATGACGATGAGACTCCAGACCTGACTGAGATTGCTTCCCCTCCCTCTGCTCCTCCCCCTCCTCCCCCTGGACCAGGACCAGGACCAGAACCAGGACCAGGCCGGGAGACCCAGACAGAGAACAGCTCTGCTCAGATACAGCTCCAGCCTGCTGCCCAAGAGAAGAGCTCAGAGACCCAGCCTGAGGGCCAACTAGCTGAGGCCAGTGGTCCCGCAATGAGTGGGTCGTCCACAAATGCCCCCACGGTCCTAAATGCCCCTGCAACGAGTATCCCTGTCCCGAAAGACCCTGCTATCCCCTCCACCTCTACAGTTCCTCATCTGTTCCTGTTTGAGCATGACTCCCAACTGGTAAGAAGGGGCAGACACCATTGAGGTTTTGAAATCGCTCTTTTAGCGTCAGTGATTTTATTGTTTTATTTTTAAAAAACATTGTGTTTTATGTTATTTTCCCTTTTACTGTTTTCTTATTTGCTGCGATTTTAAATGCACTTTCAATCAAATGTGATTTGTTTTGATTTGATTTGAGGCGGAGGAAGAGGAGCCTTCTCAGCCCTTCACCCAGCTCCAGCTCCAGCAGGCCAAGCAGCTGGTCCTCAGCCTTATGAGGGACTCCAAATTGGGGCTGGTCGCTGTCACCAAGGCACTCCTGAAAAACAGTGGAGATGTCTCCGCCGCTCTGCGAGACCTACTGATGATGCCTAACACAGGTAGGTAGCCCAGTGGCTAAGGAGGTGGCGGAAAATTCATCTGGAGGGCTGCTGGTTTAAAAAAATAGTGCCTACCATTGAGCCCTTGAGCAAGGCATTTAACCCATAACATGCTCTCTATCCAGGGGCTCTTCACTGCGGTTTGACCCTTTTCCGGAGACACTTGAAACCCCACCTCTTTAAGGAATACCTGGGATAGGATAAAGTAATCCTTCTACCCCCCCCTTACCCCACCCCCCCCCCAAAAAAAAAAATATAAGTACAATTTGTAAGTTGCTCTGGATAAGAGCATCTGCTAAATGATGTAAATGTAAATGTAACTGTGTGTGCTATCACACGCAGGGGGGGGGGGTTAATGAGCAGAAGACACATTTATTGTTCACAGTAACATATGGACACTAAAATTGTATTATATTATTGTAGGGAGCGGTGTTCGGCAGGGCCCTCGATGGGAACGTCATGACGACTGCCTGCTGCTGTCAGCTGACCCTTCAGAACTCCACAAAAAGTTTGGGGAAGAGGGCGTGGCCAAGAGGATGGCTTTCCTCGATGGAGAGTGACACTGGGGTTCAATTTGGTTCAACGGTATGCAACGTTGTGTGGCGGTTTGTACTGAACAACACGTTTCCCCCCAAAATGATCGCACCGTTCTTCAACAGTTTTTGAGGTATAACCATTTTAAATCGCAAAATTCGTGCGGCAAGCACACCATACACAATCGCACCTCTGGGCCAACTTAATCACAATGTTCTTTCCAGTGTTGTATTAACCAAACAGAAGAAAACAGGGAGGGACTAACTTAGCCCTTGATCATGACTCTCGGTTGCATTATATTACACATACGAGTCATTGGACGAAGGCGCTTCGCTTGCAGTAGGGTTTTGGAAGCATAAGGACCTTATTTTTAATATCAGCAATAATTAATTTTCAAAAAACAAAAGGGTAACTTGATACACACCTTTATAGGGTTGTGGTTCCCACACGGACAAACGTGTTGTCACTGAAAAATAATTTTGGCTGCAACTGTGTTAAAACCGGTTAAAACAGTGTACAGTGTTATTTTGTGTGTTTTTTGCATTTGTGAAATTATTTTGATGTGATATGAAAGTAGAGGACTTTATGTTTCTAGAACCGTACCGCAATTGAGAATCGATTCAGGTTTAAATGGAGCATTTGGCTGTTTTGGCTTCCAGAGCCACTTCACCCTTTAAACAGAACATGTAAGGTCCTTTTTTTAATGTTATTTTACCTTTATTTAACTAGGCAAGTCAGTTAAGAACAAATTCTTATTTACAATGACGGCCTACACCGGCCAAACCCGGACGAACGCTGAGCCAATTGTGCGCCGCCCCTATGGGACTCCCAATCACGGCCCGGTTGTGATACAGCCTGGAATCGAACCAGGGGGTCTGTAGTGACGCATCAAGCACTGAGATGCAGCGCCTTAGACCACTGGACCCTTGGACTATAAGGAATAACATTAGACTCCTTTAGTCCATTATTGGTCTAGGGCTACCTGAACTTGTCCAACAAGAATAATAGTTATCACAGTGTTATACCATTTTAAATCGTATGTCTTTCTTGTCTCTGACATTTAATGTTTTTTTTTTTTTTCATTGATTGTGGTTCCTAATAGGACTATACAGTATGTGCTTCAGGAAACGCCTCGCCCTTGATCTTGACTCTGTTCCATTACGTTACACACACACGAGTCATTGGACGAAGCGTCTTCTGTAGGGGGGAGTTTTGTTAAGAGCCGCGACGCTCGGTCTGAACATTAACATGCATCGCTTGCGGTAGGGTTTTGGAGGCATAAGGACCTTATCTTTAATATAAAAAAAAACAACAACACATAAACACCTTTTATAGGGTTAGGGTTCCCACATGGCCATATTTCCATGTTACAGCGCTTGTTTACGGATGACTACTTGTGCTAATTAGATATCTGCATCTCCTAATGCCTGTGTAAACGATGGACGCCACAAACGTGTTGTCACTAAAAAAATATGGTCGGCTGCAACTGTGTTTAAAACAGTGTACTGTAAGTGTGTATTTTGCATTTGTACAATTATTTTGATGTGATATGAAGGTAGAGGGATTCATTTTTCTATAACCGTACTGCAATTGAGAATCGACTCACCTTTTTAGATGGAGTATTTGGCTGTTTTGGCTTCCAGAGCCACTTGGCCTTTAAACAGAACGTGTAAGGTCCTTGGACTGGCTAGATTTAGTCCATAATTGGGCTAGGAAATGCCATGCCCCATGGAAGAAAGCAGATTTTAACTTGTAATATTTTAGCTTTTGTAATGTGTCTGTTTGGAATTCAAATGTGTTCTTTTTGAGCAATAGTAATAAACATGCTACATATGTGAAATATACTGTATGCATATGATGATTTGTGACAATCTGTCATTGAAATAAAATAATTCGCTTTATAAGTAACCTAACTTGCTTGATTCATACAGCAAATGTAGTGATAATATGCATGTTGAGTGAATTGGCGGGAGATGGGTCATATTGGTTTTGGGTATTTGGGTTGCCAAACAGTTTCAGTATTAAAACATTTAGTAGCTTGTGCAAAATATATGACCAATGGCAACAATACCACCATACACAATACATCGCACAACCATGTCATTATTTTTGGACCACTGTCTACTACTCCGACTGAATATATCTCATCAGCTCATTCGCGTTTCTGCAACGAGATCTATTTTGGACCAGCTGGTACTCCGTGACTTCGAATCGCTTGACAAGGAGAGGATTTGTTAAAACGTTTTAAAGGGGGGGGTTGCGACCGTCTGGATACATAACCGCACGTTACTGGAAATTTAGTCCAAACAAGCATAGTTGATATTTCAATACGTTTTCGGAGGTCTTCGAGTTCTTGAAAGGGAACCGGGTAAGTGTCCAACCAGCCAGTTAGCAGCTAACGCTAGCGGTCCAGCTGCACTGCAAAAACAACGGAGAACAAGATCGCTAAATAATCATAGGCTAACGTACTTTATCAGCTCCGTAGCCAGCGACACTCATGTAAAAGGTTTGCGTGTTCACATAGCTACTGTAGCTAGCTATTTTATGGAAATGTGGTTATGTTTTTTTTGTGCACAACCGCACAATCCTTAGCAACTAGCTAGCAAGCTAACGTTGGCTGCAATCTGGGTACAACACCTGGCTAGCTAACAACTAGGTACAATGACAACTTTAATGTACGGGTAGTCAATGTGTAACCTATTTGCACTACAGTAGTGATTTGGTTAGTTTGGCTATAAAGTATTTTAGTTCGCTACCAGCTTATGTTGCACCAGGCAGTTACTAAACTTGGCTAGCTAACGTTAGATTTCCTACCCTACCACCACAAGCTCACTGGCTATCTAACGTTAGCTAGCTAGCTAGCTACAGTGGCCACAGTCTGAAATGTACTTGCCTTGCTAGTTAGCTAGCTAGCTAGGTAACGAACGTTACTGTAATTGTCTTGTACGGTGTGTCTATGTGCCTAAGCCCTGTTCTGTTCTTACATACCTGCTGTGTACGTACGCGTTGTATACGCTCCAATACACACGTGTGTTGCATTGTAATACAGGTTAACAGTTGTTTTTCCAAAAGGGGGAGGAGACGTTACTGCTCTTAATTTCACATATGTAACGTTAGCTACCTAGGTAATATAACAAACTTCTCAACTCCATTCCATGCAAAGCTATAGCATTGGTACTACGACGTTAGCAATTCCATTCCATGCAAAGCTATAGCATTGCTTCTACGATGTTGGCTAACATTGCTATCTTACAGACTAGAGCAAATGTTTAGTCAGTGTCACCCAACCCAGACGTAGGTACCAGGAGCCCCTCATTATTTATGCATGCAGTAAGTATGTCCCATATGGCTCCCTATTCCCTATAACATTGCACTACTTTTGCCCATGGCCCTGCCGTCCCTGGTTAAAAGTAGTGCACTATATAGGGAATAGGGTGCCATTTGAGACGAAACGGTATGTTTTTCTCAGTGTGCAAGAAGGTGGTTTATTATGGTTGTGGTGGTCTTTTCCTAGCTGTGCATGGGAAAACATCGGCAGGTAACTCCATCTCCTGACCATCCCACTGAGGCAGAATGAGTTCTAAGGGGGGAGGAAGCACAGCCCTGACCCGACGAAACTACAGACTGGCCTCCGACACAGACAAGCCCAAAGTCACAGGTGAGGAGAGGGGGAGCAGGGATCAGAGGAGAGGACAGGTTAGAGGGAGGGAGATGGAGGGAGAGAGAGATGGGATGGCCTAAAGTCAAGCCAGGCGAGGAGAGGAAAAAGGAGGGTTAGAGAGGTGGCGAGTAGAGTAAAGGATGGTAGGGGAGTAGAGGATGGAGGGAGGGATAGATGGTATCCTGGTCCCAGATCTGTTTTTGCTGTCATGCCAACTCCTATGGTCATTGTTTCAGGCGTATATGACTATTAGAGTTGACAAGACAGCTGATCAGAGACTGTTCTGGAACCAGCCTAGTACAGCTCCATTTTGTTGTCACATTCTTTCCCCATTGGACTTGGTCTCTGTCTTTCTCTGGTATTGTTAGAACACTGAGTGGCACTATTATATGTCAACATATTCTGTCTGTTTATTGTGGTCAGCACCATTTCAACTGGTCAAATTCCTGGTACATGTACATCTGGTTATTCTGATGTCTCTCTCTCTCTCTCTCTCTCTCAGGTATTGTGAATGAGAAATTACTGAGTGACTACCTACACCATGTATTTCCTGCCTCTCACCTGCCACGCCCCCCACTGGCTTCCCTCAGGTATCGGCCTGACTGTCTACAACTCTTCTCTTCTACCAATGTCTACTACTCTGAGGGAAGGTTTCCCGGACACAGATCAAGCCTAGTCTTGCACTAAAAAGCTATTTCAATGGAGATTCCCCAATTGAGCATACCTTTTTAGTCTAGGATTAGGCTTAATCTGTGTCTGGGAAACTGGCCCATTATAGTGTGTTTCCTCATTGGTTGTGATGCTTGTGCCATAGAAATATAATCTATGGAGATTCTATTTCTATGGTGTGTGTGTACTGTGTGGAAAGAAAGACGCTACATCAACAGATGCTTTTCAGTGTTTATTTCTCTGTGGCCTTTAAGAGTTCAGTGATCCTGCAATGTCCCTTTTTAATAACAAACGTATTACCTTCCTGGTAGCAATCTCAGGTTGCATCTCACATGGCACCCGGCCTATTCCCTATGTGGTGCACTCCTTTTGACCGTGGGCCCTAAAGCTCTGGGGCCATATCAAACGTCTCAGAGTAAGAGTGCTGCACTATGATCAGGTACCCCAGTCCGGATGTGTAATATCATTAGTTGTGATCTACAGGGTATTTCTGGATCAAAAAAGGGGATTTAGGTGGTGGGCGTGGCAGGGGGCGTGGCAATGAGCACGGGTTGGCCTGTCGGCGTGGCAACGAGCACGGTCGCCCTGTCGGCGTGGCAACGAGCACGGTCGCCCTGTCGGCGTGGCTGAATTGGAGAATTCGAGGCCCCTATTTTGGTGGCATAAATACATTTTTGAATTCTTAAGCCAATTTCCTGAAATGTTACACATTTCTCCATGGAGCTGAGAGATAATGTTGCAGTTTTAAAGCACATTTTCTGCAATTCTATGCATTTTGCCATGGCTTTTGCTCAAACATAATAACAAAATCAATACTGCTAAATTTGTTTTTGGAATTTTCAATTCTCCCTGACTGTCTAGCTTATATTTAGGTGATTTGTTAGTTGTCAAAGATTATATTATGTAAGAAAAACATACTTTTTTTTAGTTGTTTAAGTTTACACACTGAAAGCATTTTTCCATCCCATAAATATATAATAAAAAAAAAAAAATGGTTTGGATAAAGGCGACCCGATAAGCCCCAAGGATTTCAATGGCAGAAAAATCCCTGATCTAAAAGGCAAAACTGATCCTAAATCAGCACAGCTACTCTGAGACACTTGATACGTACGGCCCCAGGTCACAGCATAGGGAATAGGGTGTCATTTGGGAAGCAACCCCAGTCCTTTTCCAGTTTTGTTTTCTAAGCAACCTAGATGTGCTATGTTTATCTAGTGTTATGCTTAAGCAACAGTTCAGATGTTGAAAGTAACATTGGTGTGTGTGTGTGTGGTATCATAGAGGTATGGAGCAACTGATCCATGTCTCCATTCCAGACCTGGCTTCAAATAGTATTCGTTTTCTTTCAAGTCTTTTTTTTTTTAACCGTGCCCAATTTGAACATGCCTGGCGCAACGGAGCCAATGAAATGGTCCGAACGGCGCGAACCTCGGCTACCTCGACCATCAGGTTCTCAAGCGAAAGCAAACGCTCCAAGTAATTTGGGGGGGGGGGGATGGATACAGTTTGAACCCATGTGTCCCCATTCCCCAGTAGTCCAGGGGGCTCAGGGTCGGGTTTCCCCCCACGGCACGGCTCTATAGATAGGGTATGAAGACAGACCAGGAGGGAAAATGAGCTGCCTCTAACACTACTAGTTGACAAGGATTCATTGGGATGGCTTTGACAGACGGTGAAAGTGGACAAAAAAATGTGTTTTACTTGTCCTCTTTTTTTGGATCTTGTTCTCTGGATCCCCTTTGCCAGGTCTCCCTCGTACTTCCTGTATAAATCAAGGTTAATTAAATAAGAACTTCGGCAGCAAAAAAGTTAATGTCGATCCACTGAGGCAAGAAGGGGCAATGTCCGAGTTGAATTCAATAAGATAAAAGCTGTGAAATGGAGAGTTGTAATCAAGGGAAGGGAGAGCCAGAGCATAATGTTTGGGAAAGAGTTGGTGAAGTGGTAAAAGAGGTTGATCGCTGTTTTTATGTGTGATTTATTGTGAGGCACAAGACGGGGACTTCACTCACATTTACATTTTAGTCATTTAGCAGACGCTCTTATCCAGAGCGACTTACAGGGGCAATTAGGGTTAAGTGCCTTGCTCAAGGGCACATCGGCAGATTTTTCACCTAGTCGGCTCGGGGATTAGAACCAGCGACCTTTCGATTTACTGGCACAACGCTCTTAAACCACTAAGCTACCTGCCGCCACTTGACGTGCCATATTTGAACTCTAAGCCTACTGTTCAGATGGTTAAATGGAATAGTAGACTTAACTGAAATCTGGACGCTGACTGTAGGTCTATAACCTCTCATGTAGCCATAATATGATATGAACTCCTGCAGAATTAAGCGTTTATTGCTGTAAAATGATACACCAAATGAAATTATTTCAGCGTCTTGAGAGAACGAATGTGCGTTTAGGGGCTGTTTTTAATGGTGCATATTTATCAGCATCATAAAAGCGGATTTTGTTTTTTCAACCATATAAAATATGCATCCAGAAACATGTTGGGTCAATTTTCACTGCTTTTAATTTCCTTAAAACTGGTCAAACTGATGTCATTTGGAAATTTAGCCCGGAAGATCCTTCCTATTTTGTTGTTATTGCATTTCTAAACGTCTGCTGCACGAGAGAAGCCAGAGAACAGAGAACTTTACTGACGTCAACTAGACTGAAGCATTCATCGATTTTATGACATTATTCTGGTTTATTTAGTCTTATAAGGCTGTGTAATGACAGAAGAGAAGCTGCATGTGTCTAATTTATAGACAAGTTGAGTAACATATAAGTAGAAACATAGCCTATCTAAATTAGGCTTTAAAAAAAAAAATATACCGCAACCCCGTCTCTGACCATACAGCACATTTTTCTATCGGCCTATTTGCGGGTTCCGGTCGGGTGCAGTCCTCACTTTATTACATAGATCTGTATTTGTGCGGTTGCGGATGGGTTATTAGCAATTGCGGGCGGGTGACGGTTGATCAAACGGCTGACCCACGCATCACTAGTCACCACCAATGACTGCGCTTACTACTTTTTTTTATAGTGTTCTAAATTAGGTGGGACAGAAAACAACATTTTCTCAGCTCACGTAATAATTAACCGGTGAAAATATTTGCCTGCAGAAACACAAGCTATGTGGGCCCTACCTTTTTATAATCACTATTTACTCTAAAGGTGTTTTTAGTGGGTAAATTATGGTGGTATCATCAATCCCTTGACTAGTTCAATCAGGTGTGTCAGTTCAGGGCTACAATAACACTGAAACGTCTGGGGGGGGTGGGGGGGTCTCTGAGGAAAGGTTTGAGTAACATTTTTAGGGAACGACATAAAATAAGTACTTTGACAAAAAACTATTGTAACCGAATCGTGTCAGCAATGCACTTTTGAAGGGATCTAAGCTGTCTTCCGGGAACCTTCTTTTTACAAATATAAATAAGTACATTCAACTTTAGGAAGATGAAACGACCACAAACCACTATCAGGCCAAGGAGGAAATGTGTGGTGAATGTTGTCTGATGGTTGTTTTTTTTCGTCCTTAGGAAACCTCTGGGCTTCCAGGACCTGGGAGCTCATCTGGAGAGGCTATTAACGGAGGGAGAGCCTACTGAGGACACCAGAGGTGTGTAAACACACACACACACATTCTACTGAGGACACCAGACCCACATGTTCATAAAGCTATCCGTTTGTGGTGATGGAGTAAATACTTTTTTGTCCTCTCCACCCCAGCCGGTGGCATTTATTTATGAAGTCATTGGATTGCAATTAACCGTCCATGAAGAGCTGTGCCGGCTATCTACTGATGAAATAGCCATAGGGATCCACAGCAACTTCTTTTTAACAATCTCAATACTGGAAACGACATCCTCTGTGTACTGCCTTGTTAGGTGTGATATGAAACTTAACTTACTGTGAAACTACAGATTAAACCTCAAAAGATACGAACGGAAGAGTTACGGACTGACCGGTCAACCGAACAGGCAATAAATCTACTGGATTTATATGTATGGGTCTCTCTTTCACCACACCAAACTGAAACGAGTCTCTCCTCCTCTCCAGATCAGCCAGTGGACGGTTGTCTAGGTCCCTTGACCGTGGTCCTGGATCACACCAGTGGCTTCGAAGGCCTCCTGTTTGTAGACGATGACCTTCTGGGGGTGAGAACCATAGCCTTGGGGTTGGGCTCAAGTTGGTAGAGCATGGCGCTTGCAACGGCAGGGTTTTGGGTTCGATTCCCAAGGGGGGGGACCAGTACAAAAAAGTATGAAAATGTGTGCACTCTCTGGATAAGAGCCGCTGCTAAGTGACTAAATTCTAGAATTAGAATGTGTCTTAAGAATCCACTCTGAGTGATCTAGAATCAGTTCTAGGGTGTACCTAAACATCTGTTTCTGATTGGTCGTTTTCCTCCATATGTTGTAGAATTAGAATCTGTCTTAAGAATCCACTCTGAGTGATCTAGAATCAGTTCTAGGGTGTACCTAAACATCTGTTTCTGATTGGTCGTTTTCCTCCATATGTTGTCACTTGTACTGTGTGATCATTGTTTTCTTTCCAGGTCATAGGTCATAGTAATTTCAGTTCCATTAGAGCTACTACCTGTGTATACAGAGGTAAGTACTTCAACAGCAAGACAATACTACACTATCATTCTTTTTACTTGATATACAGGTCTTACTCATTTTTTAAAAAATCGGACCAATCGCATGATGGTACAGAAGCATGTCTTAACGTTGATTACTGTGCCATGTATTCCAGGGAAATGGGCGTACGAGGTGCTGATCTCGTCACAGGGCCTGATGCAGATAGGATGGTGCACTGTGAACTGCAGGTTCAACCAGGAGGTAAGATCATTCTTATAACCAGAACAGAACCATATATTGAGTGTCTGATAGGATGGTACACTGTGAACTGCAGGTTCAACCAGGAGGTAAGATCATTCTTATAACCAGAACAGAACCATATATTGAGTGTCTGATAGGATGGTGCACTGTGAACTGCAGGTTCAACCAGGAGGTACAGCAGGTTCAACCAAGAGGTACAGCAGGTTCACTGTGGTTCTGTCAGAAATGGCACCCTATCCTGTCCCTTATATCAGGGCTGACTTGGGGCGGCAGGTAGCATAGTGGTTTAAGACCGTTGTGCCAGTAACCGAAAGGTCGCTGGTTCTAATCCCCGAGCCGACTAGGTGAAAAATCTGTCGATGTGCCCTTGAGCAAGGCACTTAACCCTAATTGCTCCTGTAAGTCGCTCTGGATAAGAGCGTCTGCTAAATGACTAAAATGTAAATGTAGAAGTTGTGCACTATATAGGGAATAGGGTGCCATTACTGATGCATCCCGGAACAACCAACCATCAGGACGGGGCCAGGAGGTTTACCTGACCATGTGACCTGACCAGGAACTACTCAGGGCCCTAGTTGAAGAAGAGATGGTCTAGTATTGTGATTATTATTTGACCTTGCTGGTCATCTATGAACGTTTGAACATCTTGAAGAATAATCTGGCCTTAATGGCCATGCACTTTTATAGTCTCCACCCGGCACAGCCAGAAGAGGACTGGCCACCCCTCAGAGCCTGGTTCCTCTCTAGGTTTCTTCCTAGGTTCCTGCCTTTCTAGGGAGTTTTTCCTAGCCACCGTGGTTCTAAATCTGCATTGCTTGCTGTTTGGGGTTTTAGGCTGGGTTTCTGTATAATCATTTTTTGACATCTGCTGATGTAAAAGGGCTTTATAAATAAATGTGATTGATATTGTCGCCCCTATACAGGCGTATAGCCTGTCTGTGTTTCTCTCCACTCTCCTCTGTCTAAAGACATTTGGACCATCAGATGAAATTATCAGGGTAAACTCTGGGCCCTAGCTGTTGCCTTAGATCTCCTGGGCCCTAGCTGTTGCCTTAGATCTAAGGGCCCTAGCTGTTGTCTTAGAACTAAGGGCCCTAGCTGTTGTCTTAGATCTCCTGGGCCCTAGCTGTTGTCTTAGATCTCCTGGGCCCTAGCTGTTGCCTTAGATCTAAGGGCCCTAGCTGTTGTCTTAGATCTCCTGGGCCCTAGCTGTTGTCTTAGATCTCCTGGGCCCTAGCTGTTGCCTTAGAACTAAGGGCCCTAGCTGTTGCCTTAGATCTCCTGGGCCGTATGAAGATCAACAGTGGTCCTCTGTAGCTCAATTGGTAGAGCATGGCGCTTGTAACGCCAGGGTTGTGGGTTCGCTCCCCGGGACCACCCATACGTAAAAATTTATGCACACATGACTGTAAGTCGCTTTGGATAAAAGCATCTGCTAAATGGCTTATTGTTATTATTATTATTATTATACTAACATGGTCAGGGAAAAACTCCTGGGCCCTATGAGGGTGAACCTGTACCAACTTATTCTGTAATTTATTAGGGGGTCATACATGCTCATTACGAGTTTTAAGTCTATAACTGCCTCATAATGCATTATATCTGCAGGGCTTTAGGTATAGTGTTACTGTAAGGTACACTGAACAAAAATATAAACGCAACATGCAACAATTTCAAAGATTTTAGTGAGCTAGTTCATATAAGGAAATCAGTCAATTGAAATAAATTCCTTACGCCCTAATCTATGGGTTTCACATGACTGGAAATACAGATATTCATCTGTTGGTCACTCCAGAGCATCCCAAACATGCTCAATAGTAGACATGTCTGGTGAGTATGCAGGCCATAGAAGAACTGGGACATTTTCAGCTTCCAGGAATTGTGTACAGATCCTTGCGACATGGGGCTGTGCATTATCATGCTGAAACATGAGGTGATGGCGGCGGATGATTGGCACGACAATGGGCCTCAGGATCTCGTCATGGTATCTCTGTGCATTCAAATTGCCATCGATAAAATGCAATTGTGTTCGTTGTCCGTAGCTTATGCCTGCCCATACCATAACCCCACCATGGGGCACTCTGTTCACAACGCTGACATCAGCAATCTGCTCGCCCACATGACGCCATATGCCCGGTACAGTTGAAACCGGGATTCAGCCGTGAAGAGCACACTTCTCTAGCATGGCAGTGGCCATCGAAGGTGAGCATTTGCCCACTGAAGTCGGTTACTGCGCCAAACTGCAGTCAGGTCAAGACCCTGGTGAGGATGACGAGCACGCAGATGAGCTTCCCTGAGATGGTTTCTGACAGTTTGTGCAGAAATTCTTCAGTTGTGCTAACCCACAGTTTCATCAGCTGTCAGGGTGGCTGGTCTCAGAAGATCCTGCTGGTGAAAAAGCCGGATGTGGAGGTCCTGGGCTGGCATGGTTACATATTTCTTAACTTTTAGATTTGTGTATTGCTGTGAATCCTGCAGGATGTGGGCTGGCGTGGTTACATGTGGTCTGCGGTTGTGAGGCTGGTTAGACGTACTGCCAAATTCTCTAAAACGAAGTTGGAGGTGGCTTATGGTAGAGAAATTAACATTCAATTCTCTGGCAACAGCTCTGGTGGACATTCCTGCAGTCAGCAATGCAATTGCACGCTCCCTCAACTTGAGACATCTGTGGCATTGTGTGGTGTGACAAAACTGCACATTTTATAGTGCCCTTTTATTGTCCCCCAGCACAAGGTGCACCTGTGTAATGATCATACTCTTTAATCAGCTTCTCGATATGCCAGACCTGTCAGGTGGATGGATTATCTTGGCAAAGGAGAAATGCTCACTAACAGGGATGCAAACAAATTTGTGCACAACATTTGAGAGAAATAAGCTTTTTGTGCATATGGAACATTTCTGGGATCTTTTTATTTCAGCTCAATGAAACATTGGGACCAACACTTTACATGTTACGTTTTTTGTATTGTTGTTCAGCTTATGTTTTCTCTTTCATCAGGAGGGTGTGTATAGCACAGGTGGTTGGTGGCACCTTTAATTGAGGAGGGCTGGCTTGTGGTAATGGCTGGAGTGGAATGGTGTCAAGTACATCAAACGTGTCTTATGCCATTCCATTCGCTCTGTTCCCCGTTCCGTTATTATGAGCCTCCACTGGTGTATAGTGGGACTGTAATGGATGTTTTCTCTATGATCAGGAAGGCGTGGGCGACACTCCAGACTCGTACGCTTACGATGGAAACAGAGTCAGGAAGTGGAACGTAACAACCACTAACTATGGCAAGGTGAGAAGATCACAGTGGTCGATCGAGAGCAAGGTTTTGTTATGGTGTCGCGTGCTAGCTAACGTGATGTCCTGACATGTTGTTTCTTGTTTGTAGTCATGGGCGGCTGGAGACATAGTGAGCTGTTTGATAGACCTTGACGAGGGAACCATCACATTCTGCCTGTAAGTCATCACTGTTTTCTAATCACAATATATACGTGTCGATTGTGAAAATGACTTTATTTATTTTCAGCTTGTTTACCATATTCTCTCATGTTGTGATATTTTAACGTTCATTTGTGGTGATATTAAAGTAGCTTTAATCTCTTGGATTCCCTTCCCTCTCCCAGGAATGGGCAGTCACTGGGCACAGCGTTCAGCAACATTAAGATGGGTCCAGGAATAGCCTATTTCCCTGCTATTAGCCTGTCCTTTAAAGAGTCGGTGGCGTTCAACTTCGGCAGTCGCCCCCTCAGATACCCCGTAGAGGGCTACCTGCCCCTCCAGAACCCGCCAACTGCAGACATCCTCAGGGCTCACAAATTGCTAGGTTATATCAAGACGGTCCTGTCCACCACCATAGACACACAGGTAACATAAAGGGGTGATCTGGGATTCAAACGTCAACAAAGCGGTCAATTTGCCACTTTGTTGTTAAACAGATGTGGGATGGGGTGTAACCCCACAGATACTGAAGTGCTCATATATATATATATATATATATATATATATATATATATATATATATATATATATATATATATGAGTAATATATATGTGAATACTGTGTTAAAAATTGTCATTATTAATTTATCTTACGATTAATTTGCGTTAGAAATCTGTGTGTAAATATGTTCGGAAATTACATAAACTTTCCTAAAAAGGTTTTTCAGAAAACCCGGTTGGAGGATTACCATTTTATTTCCTTACTCTGGGAATCCATTAACCGGGATTTTTTATTTTTAAACATGGGACATTTGTGGAAGTTTCCGGAATTGTTTGCCCATCGTCTGTTAACCTTTTATCTTCCCAACAGGAGGAGAAGGTGGTGGAGAAAGATATTGCCTGCTGGAGCCTACACGGAGAGCCCACCACCTTAGTTACTCTGGCACACATCTTCAACTACTTTGCTCCACTTATGGTGAGTGAAAAGTCTTTGGATTTATGTTCTGGTGATTTAAAAAAACAAACAAAAACAAAAACATTCTACTGTTAAATGAATGAAAAATGAAATTATGCCGACACCATCTAAAATATAATTTCCACCTCCAGAAATGAGCCCAATAACATATTGTGAAAAAAAAAAAAAATGGGATTATGTTATTGGACCATGCATATTATCAGGTACGCTATTAGCAATAAACATTATCATCTGTAGCCCAACTGATGCAGCATAGTGGCTCTAAAGAAATAGTCTGAAGCATGGGGTTTGCCCATCTGCATTTACCCTATTGGGTTAATCATTAGCTAGATCCCAATGGGATATTTTAACTAGTTAGCATTATATTGATTAATTTTATGGCCCAAAAAAAGTGCATAAACATGGTGAATATGTGTTCTACATGTTAGGGTAACCTGGGGGTAGCCTGCCACTCGGGGTAACACGTCCCCTGTCTGTTTTTCTCACAGAAAAAAAAACAATAAATGTCACAATTTCCCCCCAACACTTTCCCTGGCTGCCACTATTCTTACTTAACTAAAAATGTTGTCTGTCTCATCACAATTGAAGTAACCCCCCCCCCCCCCCCCCCCCCAAAAAAAAAGTATGTACGGTAATGTTCCGTTTTACCCCAAGTTATCCTACAATTGAACCATGTTGCTGAAAACTCTGGGTTTAATATGGTGTATTAAGGAGTTGAGAAATTTTAATAAAGTAAGAATGGAATGCTGGGATCGCCCTTTCTAACAAAGGCCATTTTAAAACTGCGTTATGAATTGTTGTGCACTGTCAGAATGCATGTTTCCCTCTCTATAGCACTCGCAACTTGAATGCGCCTCAAGGGGAATATTTATCTGGCGTAGAACACACAACAACCAGCTGACTAGGTAGATCAGCTACTCTACTATGGGGTAGTCCGGTTTTTCTATTCATTCAGAGGAAAAGTAAATATGGACTGTTCCAGCATCTTTAAAGTGCGCCTCGGCAGAAATATTTTGTCCATATTGTTGGGGGAGTGGCGGCAATGATTTTGCAGTGGCGTATCGTCACAGCTAAATGACTGCGGTGGAAACTGGTGTACATTTTTCCTTTTTTGGGCCGATGTTCTTTGCAAATTGATTCTGCAATGTGGTTCGCTATGTTGTCTGTTGAGGAGATCCCAATGGGGATCAAAACATTGTTCATGTCTCATAATTTATCTTGTGTGTATTCTTGTCTCCAGTGTAATATGTTGAGTATCTGCCTCTACAGTGTAAGGTGTATCTGGTAGAAGATGTGCTGATGAACTTCCTACTGGGTATACTGGAGGGGGGCGGCTCAGTGGACGAACATCCTCTCATACAGCAGCTCCTAGACCTCTTCTGGCTTCTCATGGAGGTTAGTACCTACCCCCTTAACCCCCACCTCTACCCCCTAATCTCTATTTCTACCCCTACTTCTGGCTGCTCATGGAGGTTAGTACCTACCCCCTTAACCCCCACCTCTACCCCCTAATCTCTATTTCTACCCCTACTTCTGGCTTCTCATGGAGGTTAGTACCTACCCCTTTAACCTCCACCTCTACACCCTAATCTCTATTTCTACCCCTACTTCTGGCTGCTCATGGAGGTGAGCATCTGGCCTAGCATGTAGCCAACACTAGCTAGTCTTTGCTGAACATATTTCCTGCACCTGTATGGGGGGCCAATCCTAGCTTGGAGATCTTCTCGCTTAACTCAAAACTTTTGTGTAAATCGTGCATTGATGTCAACGGTAGATTTGTGCAAAAAAAAACTCAAGTCATGCGTGCAGCTCTCAAAATTAGGATTGGGGACTAAGTGCATATGTCATGTTTTTCTGTTTGCGATGACTCTGCCCGTACAGGACTATGAGGTGAACGAGTGTCTGAAGCAACTGATGATGTCACTGCTCAGGGCCTACAGATTCTCCCCCATCATCCCCGACCTGGGCTTCCAGGTAAGAGACCATGCCCACTGACCATGCCCTAGCATACCTGTAGAGTTACTTCCTGTCTCAGACTCCGCCCCCCTCCGTACAATACCTGGGCTGCGTTCCAAACACGTAAAAGACACACCCTCTCCCCTCAGCCCTCAAATTAAGTGGACACTTCTGCTGACGTATCTACAGGATACGCATGGTGTACACTGAGGGTACAAAACGTTAGGAACACCTGCTCTTTCAATGACATAGATTGCCTAGTTAAATCCAGGTGAAAGCTACGATCCCTTATTGATGTCACCTGTTAAATCCACTTCAATCAGTGTAGGTGAAGGGGAGGAGACAGGTTAAAGAAGGATGCTTTAAGCTTTGAGACATCAATCAATCAATCAATCAATTTTATTTTATATAGCCCTTCTTACATCAGCTAATATCTCGAAGTGCTGTACAGAAACCCAGCCTAAAACCCCAAACAGCTAGTAATGCAGGTGTAGAAGCACGGTGGCTAGGAAAAACTCCCTAGAAAGGCAAAACCTAGGAAGAAACCTAGAGAGGAACCAGGCTATGAGGGGTGGCCAGTCCTCTTCTGGCTGTGCCGGGTGGAGATTATAACAGAACCATGCCAAGATGTTCAAAAATGTTCATAAGTGACAAGCATGGTCAAATAATAATCAGGAATAAATCTCAGTTGGCTTTTCATAGCCGATCATTAGAGTTTAAAACAGCAGGTCTGGGACAGGTAGGGGTTCCATAACCGCAGGCAGAACAGTTTAAACTGGAATAGCAGCAAGGCCAGGCGGACTGGGGATAGCAAGGAGTCACCACGGCCGGTAGTCCCGACGTATGGTCCTAGGGCTCAGGTCTCTCAGTTGGCTTTTCATAGCCGATCATTTAGAGTTGAAAACAGCAGGTCTGGGACAGGTAGGGGTTTCGTAGCCGCAGGCAGAACAGTTGAAACTGGAATAGCAGCAAGGCCAGGCGGACTGGGGGCAGCAGGGTGTCATCATGCCCGGTAGTCCTGACGTATGGTCCTAGGGCTCAGGTTCTCAGAGAGAAAGAGAGAACGAGAGAATTAGAGAGAGCATACTTAAATTCACACAGGACACTGGATAAGACAGGAGAAGTACTCCAGGTATAACCAACTAACCCCAGCCCCCCGACACATAAACTACTGCAGCATAAATACTGGAGGCTGAGACAGGAGCGGTCCGGAGACACTGTGGCCCCATCCGAAGAAACCCCCGGACAGGGCCAAACAGGAAGGATATAACCCCACCCACTCCGCCAAAGCACAGCCCCCGCACCACTAGAGGGATATCCCCAACCACCAACTTACAATCCTGAGACAAGGCCGAGTATAGCCCACAGAGGTCTCCACCACAGCACAAACCAAGGGGGGGGGGGGCGCCAACCCAGACAGGAAGATCACGTCAGTAACTCAACCCACTCAAGTGACGCACCCCTCCCAGGGACGGCATGAAAGAGCACCAGCAGGCCAGTGACTCAGCCCCTGCAACAGGGTTATGGGTCGTGGATGGAGGGCCTTGGGTCGTGGATGGAGCAATTCCCGTACCAGGCCGTGATGCAACCGGTCAGGACACTCCATGGTGCAGCGGTAGTATTTGACCCGGGGCGGCATGCCAAATTTCTTCAGTGGCCTCAGGAAGTAGAGACGCTGTTACGTCCTCTTGTCAAGGGTGGTGAGGTTGTTAGTCCACGACAAGTCCTCGTGATGTGGAGGGAACAATAGTGCTGAATGCTGAACTGTAGTCAATGAACAGCGTTCTCACATAGGTGTGTGTACCTCTTGTCCAGATGTGTTACGGCCGTGTGTGAATAGTGATGGAAATGTCATCTTCCATGGATCTGTTGGAGCGGTTGGCAGATTGGAGTGGGTCCAGTGTGACTGGTATGATGGCCTTGATGTGGGCCGTGACCAGCCTCTCAAAGCACTTCATGATGACCGAGGTGAGCGCGACGGGAATGTCACCTTTGTTTTTCTTGGGCACTGGGACGATGGTGGTTGCCTTAAAGCAGGTGGGGACTACAGCCTGGGAGAAGGACAGGTTGAAAATGTCCGAGAAGATGCCTGCCATCTGGTAAGCACATACTCTGAGGATGTGGCCAGCGATGCCATCTGGGCCGGTGGCTTTGTGGGTATTCACTCTTTTGAGAGTTTTCCTCACTTCCACATCGGAGAGCGAAAGCACCTGTTCGTCCGGGGTATTTACACGTGATGGGGGGTTAGTGTATAAACTGAGCAGTATAATAAGAGTCTGGTAGCAGCAGGTGTGTGTGTGTGTGTGTAGCATGAATGTACGTGTGTGAATGAGTGCATGTGTGCTAAGGAGAGTCAGTGCAGGTGGTCAGTCCAGTTCAAGTGTTCAGCAGTCTGGTGGCTTGTAGATAGAAACTGTCTCTGAGCCTGTTGGTGTCAGACCTCATGCTCTGATACCGTCTGCCCGACAGTAAGGGAGTGAACAGCTCGTGGCTGGGGTCCTTGATGATGCTGCGGGCCTTCCTCAGGCACCGTTTCGAGTAGATGTCCTGGATGTGTGGGAGCATGGTCCCAGTGATGTCCTGGATGTGTGGGGGCATGGTCCCAGTGATGTCCTGGATGTGTGGGAGCATGGTCCCAGTGATGTCCTGGATGTGTGGGAGCACGGTCCCAGTGATGTCCTGGATGTGTGGGAGCATGGTCCCAGTGATGTCCTGGATGTGTGGGGGCATGGTCCGGAGCAGCAGGAGTCTTCCTGGATGACTCGGTATTGTCTGCCTCGAAGCGAGCATAGAATGTGTTAAACTCGTCTGAGAGGGAGACTAGCTCGATCTGCCTTTGCAGTCTGTGATAGTCTGTAGTCCTTTCCACATGCGATGCGAGTCTGTGTTGTCTTTTTGCGTCCCTAATGGATTTGCGGAGCTCGTACCTCCTTGCCTTGAATGGTTTGCTCCACCGAGTCATCGGTGTTCGTTCTGCTGACTTTGAATGCTGCAGTATGGGCTCTCAGCATGGTACGGATGTCTCCGTTAATCCAGTGTTTTTGGTTGGGGTATGTCCGGATTATGATTGTGGGCACCATCATCATCATCATCATCATCATCATCACATTTCCTAATGAAGCCTGTGACTGCCGATGTTTATTCCTCAATGTTGATGGACGTGTCCTGGGTGGATGAATCTTTTAGAACATATTTCGATCAGTATTCTCAAAACAATCCTGCAGCATTAACTCTGCCTGCTCTGTCCAGTGCCTCAATATTCTCTGTGTTGGTGGCTCCCTCTTGAGTTGCTGCTTGTAGGCGGGGAGTAGGAACAGTGGCTGTGTCTCAAATGATACCCTATTTATTAAACTGTGTAGTGCGCCACACTGCACCAGCGCCCTGTTAGTGCCCTATGTTGCACTGGTCAAAGTAGTGCACCATGTAGGGAATAGGGTGTAATTTGAAACACAGCCTCAGATCTTCTCCAAACGAAGGACACTGAGACGATGGACAGCCAATCAGATATCACCTTGGTGTGATTATACATAGTCGGTTAATTCAGGAAGTACCTCGTAAATAAATAATAATTTGAATTTACGATGTTGACGTTAAACCTTAGATGCACCAAAGGAGCAGCTGTGTTTGTGTAGGAGTAGGATGTCTTTCAGTTAGTCCTTGTCACATTTAGTGGAGGAGAGCTTGTTGAGGTGAGGAGGTTACAGTCTGAGATAGGTGGTTAAAAATGTCCAGCAGCTCTGCAGATATTTACATAGTTCAGAGCTGTGGGTGTAGGTGGGTCTGGGGGTGTGTATATTCAATATATTCTAATGGTAATTGTGACTGCAATATGACTTATAATTTGTCTTCTGTGACATTCTCCAGATTCACTACCTACGTTTGACGACCGCTATCCTGCGCCATGAGAAGTCCAGGAAGTATCTGCTCAGCAACGTTCTATATCCTTTCATTGGTTCATGACGTGCTTATAATGCTTCATAATTATTACATTGTAAGTGGTGATGTACTTGCGATGATCATGATTTTGAGACAATGTAGTTGTCTCAAAAATGTAAATGCTCTTTAGTTGCTCAAGATAAGATTCTGCCAAACGTTATACAGCTGCGGAAAAAATTAAGAGACCACTGCAAAATTATCAGTTTCTCTGGTTTTACTATTTATAGGTATGTGTTTGGGTAAAAATAACATTTTTGTTTTATTCTATAAACTACTGACAACATTTCTCCCAAATTCCAAATAACAATATTGTCATGTAGAGCATTTATTTGCAGAAAATGACAACTGGTCAAAATAACAAAAAATATGTTGTCAGACCTCGAATAATGCAAAGAAAATAAGTTCATGTTCATTTTTAAACAACACAATAGTAATGTTTTAACTTAGGAAGAGTTCAGAAATCAATATTTGGTGGAATAACCCTGATTATATTATTATTATTATTTTTCAATCACAGCTTTCATGTGTCTTGGCATGCTCTCCACCAGTCTTTCACATTGATGTTGGGTGACTTTATGCCACTCCTGGCGTAGAAATTCAAGCAGCTTGGCTTTGTTTGATGGCTTGTGACCATCCAGCTTCCTCTTGATCACATTCCAGAAGTTTTCAATGGGGTTCAGGTCTGGAGATTGACCTTGCTGTGTGGCATGGCACATTGTCCTGCTGGAAAAACCAATCCTCAGAGTTGGGGAACAATGTCAGAGCAAAAGGAAGCAAGTTTTCTTCCAGGACAACCTTGTACGTGGCTTGATTCATGCGTCCTTCACAAAGACAAATCTGCACGATTCCAGCCTTGCTGAAACACCCCCAGATCATCACCGATCCTCCACCAAATTTCACAGTGGGTGCGAGACACTGTGGCTTGTAGGCCTCTCCAGGTCTCCGTCTAACCATTAGACGACCAGGTTTTGGGCAAAGCTGAAAATTGGACTCATCAGAGAAGATTACCTTACTCCAGTCCTTATGGTCTTTTGCAAACCTCAGCCTGGCTCTTCTTTGCTTATCATTGATGAAGGGCTTTTTTCTAGCTTTGCACGACTTCAGCCCATCCCCTAGGATCCTGTTTCGAACCGTCCTCGCCGTGCACTTCACCCCAGATGCCGTTTGCCATTATTTTTGTAGGTCACTTGATGTCATCCTACGGTTGTTGAGTGACATTCGAATGAGTTGGCGGTCATCCCGGTCAGTAGAGTTTTCGCCCTCTGCCGGTCTGTAGCTTTGTTGTCCCCAATGTCTGCTGCTTGACCTTGTTCTTATGAACCGCCGTCTTTGACATTTTAAGGATGGAAGCAACCTGACGCTCACTGTATCCCTCTGCCAGTAAAGCCAGAATTGAACCCTTCTTTTCCTCACTCAAAACGTTCCTTTTCAACTCTTTTGGTATGGTCAATAGTTGTTTTTTGATTAATATTACTTTTGAGGTACTATTAGCACTGTTTTTACCATCCAGCTGGTCCTATTGCAAGATGATAGTGATGACCACAGCAGTGGTTTTTATACTTTTCCTCGTTAAATAAGATTTGGTTCAGGTGATCACCTAATCAGTACCTAATTCAGTAGAATGAGGTGTGCCTGTGTTGGAGTTCAACAGACACTGGAATGGAATGGCTGTCATACATGTAGAGATGCTGATTTAAGAAATGTTTTGCAGTGGTCTCTTAAATTTTTCCACAGCTGTATATCCCCCTAGGGCTCAGTCCTTGGACCCCTACAACTTTCCGGTGTGAACGGTGTGTTTTACAGTATATTTTGACTGCCTCTGTGAGCGTCTTTGTAGTATTGCACGCTGTGCCACTTGGTATGTGAAGGATGTTGTTGGGTACGTGTAGGATGTTGTTGGGTACGTGTAGGATGTTGTTGGGTACGTGTAGGATGTTGTTGGGTACGTGTAGGATGTTGTTGGGTACGTGTAGGATGTTGTCGGGTACGTGTAGGATGTTGTCGGGTACGTGTAGGATGTTGTCGGTTACGTGTAGGATGTTGTTGGGTACGTGTAGGATCTTTAACTCTCAACACGTTTGACGTTCTGCGCTCGGTGGTGTTCTTCTACATTAAGACTCCTCTGAGGGTGAAGGAGGCGGGACTAGAGGAACTCATCCCCACCACCTGGTGGCCCACACGCTTCGACAAAGAGGTACAGCCAATCACAGCTCTCCTCTCAGAGGTACAGCCAATCACATCTCTCCACTCAGAGGTACAGCCAATCACGTCTCTGTTGCGCCCCAGTAGTGTCTCCTTTCACCTGAAGTGTGCACTTTTTCTATACTTTCCACAAATCTAAAAGCATTGGATTGGTGGAGGCATGGGCTACTGGGGGGTTACACCATCTTTCTTATACCAGTCATTTCCTATCAAATCAGTGAAGGGAAGTGAACAAGTGCACACTTTGGGAGGAATGAGAGATAATTGGGACAGAGCCACAATCATATCTCTCCTCTGAAATAGTCACATTCCTCTTCTCAAGCACATAGGGTTTTCTCTGAAACAATCACATTCCTGTTCTCAAGCGTAGAGGGTTTTCTCTGAAACAATCACATTCCTGTTCTCAAGCGTAGAGGGTTTTCTCTGAAACAGTCACATTCCTGTTCGCAAGCGTAGAGGGTTTTCTCTGAAACAATCACATTCCTGTTCGCAAGCGTAGAGGGTTTTCTCTGAAACAATCACATTCCTGTTCTCAAGCGTAGAGGGTTTTCTCTGAAACAATCACATTCCTGTTCTCAAGCGTAGAGGGTTTTCTCTGAAACAGTCACATTCCTGTTCGCAAGCGTAGAGGGTTTTCTCTGAAACAATCACATTCCTGTTCTCAAGCGTAGAGGGTTTTCTGTCCCATGTTCAGTAGGTCACAAAACAAAGACATCTGGGAAACAAAATAAAAAATAATATTTGTTATCGTTATATTACCGAGACACATTTGAAAAGGATGTCAAATGATTTGGCGATCATTTTTTGTTGTTTCAGAAGCGGATAACATTTCTAGCTACATTCTTAGACAAAAAAAGGTTATTAGTTTGTCCACATAGGATCACCGTTTTGCTTCCAGGTTTTTGCCCTACCACTACACAGCTGATTCAAATGATCAAGGCTTGATTATCAGTGGGGTCCCGAGGACCGAGTTTGGGAAACCATCTGTTAGTGAAAGGGTTCCACTTGGAACCAAAAATCGTTTATTTTCAGAGGATTTACCCATGGGGACAACTGAAGAAGCCTTTATGGATCTAGGTAGCACTGCTTATTTCTACGAGTGTAACAAAGTGATAACGGGAACTGTGGTTGTATGAAATACAGTACAATCAGTCCCCTGTCATGTGACTATACAATCAGTCCCCTGTCATGTGACTATACAATCAGTCCCCTGTCATGTGACTAGGGAAAGGAGTCTAAAGATGAGAGTGCAGAGGAGAGGCTGAGACGCCGGGCCTACGAGAGAGGCTGTCAGAGGCTCAAGAAGAGGATTGAGGGTAAGTAATGTCCACTACTGTTAAAATCCCCCTCACACCTGTCCGTCTGTCTGTCTCTCTGTCTGCCTGTCTACCCAGTACAGCCAGAAGGGGTTGGGTTCCCTCTAGGTTGGGTCCCTCTAGGTTGGGTCCCTCTGGGTTGGGTCCCTCTAGGTTGGGTCCCTCTAGGTTGGGTCCCTCCTAGGTTGGGTCCCTCCTAGGTTGGGTCCCTCCTAGGTTGGGTCCCTCCTAGGTTGGGTCCCTCCTAGGTTGGGTCCCTCTAGGTTGGGTCCCTCTAGGTTGGGTCCCTCTAGGTTGGGTCCCTCTAGGTTGGGTCCCTCCTAGGTTGGGTCCCTCCTAGGTTGGGTCCCTCCTAGGTTGGGTCCCTCCTGGGTTGGGTCCCTCTGGGTTGGGTCCCTCCTAGGTTGGGTCCCTCTAGGTTGGGTCCCTCTAGGTTGGGTCCCTCTAGGTTGGGTCCCTCCTAGGTTGGGTCCCTCCTAGGTTGGGTCCCTCTGGGTTGGGTCCCTCCTAGGTTGGGTCCCTCCTAGGTTGGGTTCCTCTCTACGTTTTCTTCCTTGGGAGTTTTTTTTCCCTTTCCTGTGCTTCTGTTCCTGCTTCTGCTTGCTCTTTGTGGTCCAGGCCTGGTTCTGTGAAAGCACTTTGTGACAACTGCTGATGTTAAAAAAAAGGTTTTATAAATGCATTTTACTGTGCTCAATGCTCTCTGGCTCAGCTGTGCGGTCTCTTCTGTCCTGTCAGTGGTGGAGGAGTTGCAGGTTCAGATCCTGAAGCTGATGCTCAACAACAAGGACAAAGGGACGGTACGTTACTTTGGTTTAGACTTTCATTTTGGCCATTTTTAGCAAAACATTTTATCCCGATGTACGTACAGAAATGTCAGCATTGACACATTTATTCGCTGGAGATGCACCGTTGAGGCCGTTTGCTTCACTAGGAGCTGAAATGAATAAATGTGATTTCCCCCAGGATATCTGGGGGAATCAAAATCACATTACTGCTGTTGTTTTCTGGTGTCCTTCACTATAATGCAGTTATACTTCCATTAGAACATGTCTAAAACTCTCACTGACCATCGCTGCCTCTGTCTCTCACAGGGTGAAGCGTCGCGGTACATATTCCTGAATAAGTTCAGGAAGTTTCTACAGGAGAACGCCAGTAACAGAGGGGTAAGAGATGATGATGATGATGCGTTTCCTGTGTGTGTGAATCTTTCAGCACCTCACAGCGCTGTGTCCTCCAGAAAACATGGGTGTGTTTCCTGTGTTTGTCCTGCAGCATCCCACGGCGCTGTGTCCTCCAGAATACATGGTGTGTTTCCTGCATCGTCTCATCACGGCCGTAAGGAGCTACTGGGATGAAGGGAAGATGAGGAACCCTGCCAGCGTCAGCAGCGACGGTGAGAGACACCAGGGTTTCTGTTTTTCGGAAAATGTGGCGCCGGACTTTTGAACAGCAGCATTTAAATTTACCGGACATTTGAGAAATTTACCGGACCGATATGCATTGGGGTGTGTAACCCGATTTAGGGCGTCCACCCACGGTGCTCAGAACGACAGAAATCACATTTTTAGATTATGGTCATTCGTCTTAACAGAACATGCAACAGCGTGCGTCCTTATTGAATTCCGATGTTCATTTGAAGATGTTAGTATAACTGTCCACATTTGGACTTTTCCTCAGCCAACAAGACGAGTAATGAACAGCAAAGTCAGAAGCCTATGTCAATCTACTATCCCCCATAGGAGAAACGTTTACCTATACTATTGGTCAGCTTGCCGTTCTCTGCGAGAAAGAAATAGCCTATTCCAAACAAACTCTGGGACAGTTGTGGGACCATATATCACTAATTCACCAGTAGGCTACATCAACAAAAAAAAACAATGAGTCTAATGCAACAGATCCGAACGTTTAGCTTCAAATGTTGATAAACTGTTATTTCTTCACATCATAAAGCGCAGCAATGCGCACAAGGCATGTTCGTTCCATAATGCAATTAGCGGGAAAACACTGTTGTCAAAAGCGCACCGCACATGAGAGCTTTTTCATGAGACAGAGATGGAAATACCCATTAGAATTTTAGAAAGAGGGGAGATCTAAAGATGTAACCACTAGCATGGGGTTGCTAATATGACTAGGATTGTGCCTCTGGTTACTAGACAATGAAATAATTCCAATATAACATGAGAAATAGGCTACTAGTTTCATATTTCATTTCAAGTCTTTAAAAATAATTGGCTTGGCTAGGTAAGGTGAACATGCCTCATAATATGTAGTAAAACGTTCCGGTTTCAAACGATGAAGTATGTTTTCAAAATGCATACTGCCTCCAGCTCATTGCAAAGTGGTGTGTGACGCGCTGAAGCCTGCCTACCGTTATATGCAATTGAATGGCGACATGGAAGTGCGCTTCAATTACCAGTTGAGAAATAAAATAGCAGCTCTTTTTAATCTTGGCTATCAACAGGGCAATAACATTGTGAGCAAAATGATTAATCATACCATTTTAGTAAACAGTTTAAGGGACCTTTTTTACATTTGAGCATCTGTGGCCTCCATTTCAGAAAATGTACCTAAAATGTGTAATTGGTGTTACCACCATTGGTGTTACTACTCCTACTGGTTGCACAGTGTTATCATAATGGTAAACATGATTTAAAGTCATTAAGCTACCATAATAGTTGATTTAGAATGGGAAGATGTACTCACATCATATACATTTTAATAAAAGACAAATCCATGCCCAAATGCCACCTTTAATTCAAGAACGACCCAACTTCAAACTTTGAGTGGGAATACAACAGACCAATGTCAAGTTACTTCTATTAAAGGGATACTTCAGGATTTTGGCGATGAAGCCCTTTTATACTTCCCCAGAGTCAGATGAACTCGTGGATACCCTATTCGTCTCTGCCTGCAGTTTTGAAGTAAGTTGCTAACTAGCGTTAGCATGCTAGCTGTTACCATAGACTTCTAGTCATTGCCCTAACGCTAGTTAGCATTGGCTTTCGAAAACTACCTCCTAACTTCCTTCCTCACTTGATGCGGATACATAAACATTACATCCACGAGTTCATCTGACTCTGGGGAAATAGAAAAAATGGGTTCATTAGACAAAATCCCAAAAGTATCCCTTTAACCCTGCAGTTGGAGAGGATTTGGAGGAGACCTCAAACCCATCAGCGCATTCGATCAGTGTCTAGGGGAACTTCACCCTACTCAGAGCAAAGCCCTCAAAGTATTCCAGTTTAAACATCCAGTCAGGGTCCGCAGAGTAATATGAGAAGAATGCAATTGCTGCATTTATGTAGATTTTTCTAAACTAAGTGCATGGTTTCGCACAAGGCGCTTAAAGTACTTGAATTTGGCACTCGGAGAAGTCATTTTCTCAAGTTCGTACTTGAAAAGTACTTGAATTAAAAATGAGAGGAACAGATAATGATCAAATGTTTTGGTCTTGCTAATTTAATTTCTACCAAGTTTTATTTCCTGACGTGTTTTGCGCTGTGATTGCCAGGCGACCTGGCTCATTTCACCCACACTGCCACTCAGCCGGGCAGGTACAGAACTGACTGATTAGGAGCTGCCAAATGTCACATCGATAGCTAAAATGCCGGGCAAATGTAGATTAAATTCTGCCTTTTGTGCATATGGAACATTTCTGGGATCTTTTATTTTCAGCTCATGAAACATAGGACCAACACTATATGTTGCGTTTTTTATGTTTTTGTTCAGTATAGATTACTCACCTTTTTTTTTTTTACCACTACATCTCACTGGACCCAACCAACCCACACTGTGAGGTGCAAAAAAATGCGTCAGACTTTTACATTGCGAGCATGGGTGAATCGGCCCTGAAGAGCCACGTGAAGGGCGAAAGACCCGACACTGCATCCTGTGCTGGCGCCAAATCAAATCAAATCAAATTTTATTGGTCACATGCGCCGAATACAACAGGTGCAGACATTACAGTGAAATGCTTACTTACAGCCCTTAACCAACAGTGCATTTATTTTTAACAAAAAAAGTAAAAATAAAACAACAACAAAAAAAGTGTTGAGAAAAAAAAGAGCAGAAGTAAAATAAAATAACAGTAGGGAGGCTATATATACAGGGGGGTACCGTTGCAGAGTCAATGTGCGGGGGCACCGGCTAGTTGAGGTAATATGTACATGTGGGTAGAGTTAAAGTGACTATGCATAAATAATTAACAGAGTAGCAGCAGCGTAAAAAGGATGGGGTGGGGGGGCAGTGCAAATAGTCCGGGTAGCCATGATTAGCTGTTCAGGAGTCTTATGGCTTGGGGGTAGAAGCTGTTGAGAAGTATTTTGGACCTAGACTTGGCACTCCGGTACCGCTTGCCGTGCGGTAGCAGAGAGAACAGTCTATGACTAGGGTGGCTGGAGTCTTTGACAATTTTGAGGGCCTTCCTCTGACACCGCCTGGTATAGAGGTCCTGGATGGCAGGAAGCTTGGCCCCAGTGATGTACTGGGCCGTACGCACTACCCTCTGTAGTGCCTTGCGGTCGGAGGCCAAGCAGTTGCCATACCAGGCGCTGATGCAACCAGTCAGGATGCTCTCGATGGTGCAGCTGTATAATTTTTTGAGGATCTGAGGACCCATGCCAAATCTTTTCAGTCTCCTGAGGGGGAATAGGCTTTGTCGTGCCCTCTTCACGACTGTCTTGGTGTGTTTGGACCATGATAGTTCGTTGGTGATGTGGACACCAAGGAACTTGAAGCTCTCAACCTGTTCCACAACAGCCCCGTCGATGAGAATGGGGGTGTGCTCAGTCCTCTTTTTTTTTCCTGTAGTCCACAATCATCTACAGTTCTACATTGTGACTTTTTCTCTGCAACAACCTCCCAGATTTTGCCAATCGCTTCAATCACGGAGCGCCCGCGATATTCCGCTTTATCAAGCGGTGGCCGTGCTCCTGCCGTTCTGGTGCCGTTTTCCTCACACAGCCCCCCCCCCCCCCCCCCCCGCCCTTCTCCCGAGCGACACTAAAGCTGCCAGTTGGAAGCAAGACACATTTTTGTAGCTATTAAGTAGTAGATTCCCAAATGCCCAATAAAAAGTCATTAAGCTGGAATTGTGGAGTAATGTGTATAGGAAATGTGTGTTCACCAGTTGGCATGTCCCAAAACTCTGCTCATCACTACTCAAATTACAAAATCATCAGTACTGACTTACCACTCATGGATATAGTATATAAGTAGTGAAACAATGTATTATTGAGTAGAACTTGTAAAGTAGTGATGAATACTAAGTTATTTTTCTTCCATGGTTGTGATGATATACTGCCATCTGGTGGCGACTAGAAACAATTGCATAATATGAACTATTACAAATTGATGATCCTTGAAAATATATATTAGTGCTTGAAAACGTACTTGAAAGTCCTTGAATTTGACTTGCCACTGTCTGTACGAACCTTGTCCAATACTAAACACACTGCTCACTTTTCCCCCAGTACCCATTACACTCTTCGCCATCTACTACATCAAAGGCTAAGGGCATCACATCCCCTGGTATTAATGGGAAAATGGGAGATATTTAACAGAAAAGCGTTTCCTAAGCCATTTATACATTTGTTTTCCCCTCTCATCCTATTGCTCAGGGGACTGAGTTTATAATTATCTTAATTACTTTGCGGGCAATTACCCACAATAGCCGCTGTCTTCCTCTACTACGTCAATGGTAATTGTAATCCTCTTCTCTCCTCCTCCTCTTCCCCCTCTCCTCTCTCCAGAGGCTTACGTTCCCCCTCAGCTCTTCTACAATGGGAAGGTGGACTACTTTGACCTTCAGCGACTTGGAGGCCTTCTCTCTCATCTGAAGAAAACCCTCAAAGGTTTGAAACAACTGTCTTCTACTCTCCTTTTTTCTTTTGATACCAAAGAAATATGTCCTGGAGATGGTGTTGGCTGACGACGGAGTTCTAAAACAAGCATTCTAAACGGAGTTCTAAAACAAGCATTCTAAACAGAGTTCTAAAACAAGCATTCTAAACAGAGTTCTAAAACAAGCATTCTAAACAGAGTTCTATAACAAGCATTCTAAACAGAGTTCTAAAACAAGCATTCTAAACAGAGTTCTAAAACAAGCATTCGAAACAGAGTTCTAAAACAAGCATTCGAAACAGAGTTCTATAACAAGCAGGGACGGCCTGTTCAATAGGGCGATATGGGCGACGCACTGCCAAACGGGAAAAGGAAGGGATTTTTTTTCTAATCAATTATATCACGGCAACAGTAGTTATCAGTGTTGTAATCTATACGTCTGATCTGCCACAGTGCCACACTGCCACTAAATGTCGAATCAGGCTAAAGTCGTGCTTCAAATGGCTCCACCCCCTTTTGGGGCGATTTCAGTCAGATTGAAAATCGCCCAGAACTTCTGTCATAGACTCCCATGTAAAATCTATTTTTTTCAAATTTCAGAGCCTTCAATACAATCTCAATGGGTGTCTGTGGGCTTGCACTTACGCGCTTTCGTCACATGAACGTAACTAAGAAAAGAGAGGGTAGCAGCGTCAATCAATTCACTACTACTATCAACATGGCTAGGCTTCAGTGCAACTCGGTTGTGTCTTTGAAAGAATTTCCTTTTTGTCGGCGAACAAATGAAGATAAATTGGCAACGAAACAATTAGGACCTCCCAGACCAAATTTAATAATTCAACAGGTTTCTACTAAAGGCGGAAAGTCCTACACCCGAGGATTTTCCAAAAATTGGTACGAACGAAAAAAGACATTGCCACTCACTCAACTGGATGACGAGGGATACAGGCTAGCTGTCCGCCGCCACAACGATGAGGTTAGTGTTGATAATCACAAGTTTACTGGATGTGGATATGGTGTAATAAAGGCAGTTTATTCAGAGGTAAATATATCTGGAATCGCGTTCACGGACCCGTTCGTCAAACTCTTAAAAATGAACTTGGGCTGGGAATTGCCAGGAACCTCACGATAAGATATATGCATCAGCATTGCGAGTCTCATGATTCTATACGTATTGCGATTCGATACTGTGATTTTATTGCGCACCATATGTCTGTTGCAGAGGGATCAGAAAGCCATGAGAACGAGTTTTGATCAGTCATGGAAATAAAAGTGCTGAAAACAAATTGGCTCCCAATGTGAAAAGATTGAGAACAAGCTATGAAGGAACAATAATGGTGTTTTGGTGCAGGTACAGCCAACTAGCGCTAAAATATTGCGATATTGTCAATACAGTATATCGTAAAGTATCACTATGTAACTCGATTTCTTTCACCCCAATCCCTCAAATTAACGGTAAATAACTGAATTGTTTGCCCCACATTTAGCTAAGATGATTAGCTAGCCAGCTAAAATGTTTTAGTTAGTTAGCAGTCGCATCTACAATAGTTTACTGTCAATAACATGTCTCCAAAAATGACGTGGTGTCTCCAATTGTGTTGACATTTTACAATTGCAATGCGCATCCATGAGTATCCACTTTCTGTAGCTCAGCTGGTAGAGCATGGTGCTTGTAACGCCAAGGTAGTGGGTTCGATCCCCGGGACCACCCATACACAAAAATGTATGCACGCATGACTGTAAGTCGCTTTGGATAAAAGCGTCTGCTAAATGGCATATTATTATTATTATTATTATTATTATTATTATTATTATCTGAAGAGAGCCCCGAAACATTGTGTGCAGACATTTTATGCAATAAATGAAGTAGGTTCAATCTAGTAGTTCTGATCTTCTGATTGGTCCTGATGAGTTGGGCGAGGTCCCCTGCAGGCTACTGTCACTGTTGCATTGGCTCTGAGTCGGGTTCTCTGTCTTCAAATGTTCAGCCTAAGAGAGGGGATTTTTGTGTGTGTGTGTGTGTGTGTGTGTTTAACAGTGATGATGTGTGTGTGTGTGTTTAACAGTGATGATGTGTGTGTGTGTGTGTGTTTGTGTGTGTGTGTGTCCTCAGAGCAAGAACTCGTGAGTTGGAAGAACTGAGAGGCCTATGGCGTGGGTGTTGTCCTTGGCCACCTGCTGACAAGGCTGACAAGATAGGACCCTTTTGTCCATTGTTATTGGATAGGAACAGAACTTATAACCAGCTCCTGACCTAAATAGATCTTAGCACAACATTTTACTCAACATATCATATTCCATATTCACTATAACAAATATATTTACTACGACATTAGCAAGAACCGCCACATCCTCAGCCGGCTAATCCAGTGTGTGAAGTTTTGCGGAGTGTTTGAGTTAGCTTTGCGAGGCAAAGATGAAACTGAGGGCTCCACCAACCCTGGTAAGCCAACACTTTTGAGATCAGTCAATAAATGCTTCTGGTATTGACTTATATGCTGCCCCTGTCTTCATGTTGTTGCTGGACATATCTTTTTTTAAATGTGTGTAGGTCACCTAAATCATCAGAAAAATTGCCCCTCCTGAGAATTTTTTCAGGAGCCGCCACTGATAACAAGCATTCGAAACAGAGTTCTATAACAAGCATTCTAAACAGAGTTCTAAAACAAGCATTCTAAACAGAGTTCTAAAACAAGCATTCTAAACAGAGTTCTAAAACAAGCATTCGAAACAGAGTTCTAAAACAAGCATTCGAAACAGAGTTCTATAACAAGCATTCTAAACAGAGTTCTAAAACAAGCATTCTAAACAGAGTTCTAAAACAAGCATTCTGAAAATAATCTGTGGTTTTGATATGGGATGTACTTGGTTTGATAAGGAGATGTGTTAAAAGTTCACCCACTTTCAGGAATTACTTCAGCTCAAGACATATTGCAAATGCCCTCTGACACAGCACTATACAGAAATAGCTTTGTAAAAATAGAGCCAAGTCAGAAATGTTCCTTATTCCCTATGAAGTGCACTTATTTTGGCCAAAGCCACATACAGTAGTGCCCTAGTAGTGCTGAGCAATTAGTGCTTTTTGAGGTGTTTTCGATTTAGGATTTGATTATTTATTTCTACGTTAAATGCGCTATGCATTATGCGGGTTGAATGCCGTAACACAGAATAAAACGATTTATGAAAGTCCCATGATGTTAGTGACTGCCCATTACTGCTTATCAGGAAGTGCGTAGAGGATGTTGTTCCCACTGTGACGATTTAGAACCTATCCAAACCAAAAACCGTGGGAAGATGGCAGCATTCGCGCAAAACTGAAAGCGAGAACCACCGCGTTTAACCACGGCGAGGTGACTGGGAACATGGATGAGTAACAACAGTCCAGCTAAGACCTCCGTTAGACAATCAGAGGTGAAACGACTGCACAGGGACAAAGGGGAGTCGCACTTCGACGGCTCAGACACCAGACGTACACGTCAGGGATTATAAAGAGAGAAGCAGCCACGTCGCGGACTTAAACATCACCGTGGACCGCTTCGAGGAAAACACTGAGCCGCCGACGCTCACGAGGACTGTGAGCTCTCGCTCTCCGTTGGCCGACGTGATTTAAGACATTTAACCCTCGCAACGCTGCCGGCCCAGACAGCGTCCCTAGCCGCGTCCTCAGAGCATGTGCAGACTAGCTGGCTGGAGTGTTTACAGACATATTCAATCTCTCCGTATCCCAGTCTGTTGTCCCCACTTGCTTCAAGATGTCCACCATTGTTCATGTACCCAAGAAAGCGAAGGTAACTGAACTAAATTAGTATCGCCCCGTAGAACTCACTTCTGTCATCACAAAGGTCATTGAGAGGCTAGTTAAGGATCATATCACCTCCACCTTAACCCGACACCCTAGAACCACTACAATTCACATACCGCCCCAATAGATCCACGGATGACGCAATCACCATTGCACTGCACACTGCCCTATCCCATCTGGATAAGAGGAATACCTATGTAAGAATGCTGTTCATCGACTACAGCTCAGCGTTCAACACCATAGTGCCCTCCAAGCTCATCACTAAGCTCAGGGCCCTGGGTTTGAACCCCTCCCTGTGCAATTGCACCGTCCGCAACCGCAGGGCTCTCCAGAGGGTGGTGCGGTCAGCCCAACGTATCACCGGGGGCACGCTGCCTGCCCTCCAGGACACCTACAGCACCCGGTGTCACAGGAAGGCCAAGAAGATGATCAAGGACCTCAGCCACCCGAGCCACGGCCTGTTCACCCCGCTACCATCAAAGAAATCGGAGACATTACAGGTTTATCAAAGCTGGACTGAAAAACAGCTTCTATCTCCAGGCCATCAGACTGTTAAATAGTCACCACTAGCCGGCCTCCACCCAGTACCCTGCCCTGAACTTAGTCACTGTTACTAGCCGGCAACCACCCAGTAGCCTGCCCTGCACCTTAGATGCTGCTGCCCCATGTACATAGTCATGGAACACTGGTCACTTTAATAATGTTTACATACTGTTTTACCCACTTCATATCTATATACTGTATTCTAGTCAAGGCTCATCCTATACAACTACTGCTGTACACACCTTTTCTATTCATATACTGTCCATGCTGTTTAGGGTTGAATAGCGGGAACCGGGTTACTGAGATTTTACTGCCCAAACCCCCCCCACTCCCTTTTCCCGGTATAAATAATAGCGAGAAACCGGTAAATGTATAATATATTATTTATATGAACAGCATGACGTGAAATGGAACTGTTAAATGATATTCGATGTCTGTATCTGGCTTCTCTTCGGGCCTCCAGCCTCCTCTCTGCTATCTGCATGATCAATCATCAACGCTCAGGGTGGGGGACATGGAGCGCAGTTCACAATGCACGTATCATCTCGTCACGGTCACTTTATTTTCTTGTGACAGGTAGGCCTTCGTTTTACTGCAGCATAGCCTATGCTATCACTCTCAATCTCTTCTCTTCCTCGCCGTGTCCGCCCCACACCAGAGATCTG